CTATATATCCAGGTAGACTTCCCTTTCCTTTCACTTTGTGCATATAAGTTTCTAGGACTTGGTATATATGGTATGGTATCTATTTCACCCAAACTAATCTCTGAATATATGTATGTGTATATAGATATCACAACCCCATCTCTAATCCTCCTCTACGTGATTACACAGAGTATCTACCTACTCCAGCTTCGCCTCAACTCAACTCACCTCACCTCTTGATTTTGAGTGAAAAAGGAGGAAGGAGGAAGGAAAGAAGGAAAGAAGAAATTCCTACCTCGTATCTAGTATTTATCATATACAAAGCTACCTAGGCACCTCCTGATATACTACTAGGTAATCCAAAACTTTCTGGAAACCGGTGAGAATGAATATACGAGGACGTGCATGCATGTATGTAGATATTTATAAACTCACTTGTCTCGGGAGTACTTTGATCTTATCTTATCTTATCTTATCTCCAACCCTAGAGTGAAGGGTAGAAGAAAGAAAGAAAGAAGGAAGGATAATTAATCACCTACCCCACATTCATTCCATGTCAACGTCACGTTGCAGGTCACGTCATCTCGACTCGGCTGGGTGCTTCGATTACCTATCTATCTTTTGATCTTTTTATCTTTCTATCTTTCTATCTTTCTATCTTTCTAGATTGTGCTCTTCTATTGCCCCTCTTCCCTACGTTTGATTGATGTAATTTAGAGTGATAGTCCGCACTGCATTTACCGGAAACAAAGTCGGCAAGAAGAGATAAAGAGAGACTCGCAAAAGAAAAGAAATCATGGCTCTCCCTCCGAAATTCGCAGGTCAGAGATTCTTGGCTTCGGTGTCGGAGAACCCGGTGCAGGCATTGCATACGTTGGAATTGTATTTGGATTATGTTTGTCCGGTGTGTGTTTCCTTTTTCTGTTTCTTGGGTTTGGGTTTGGGTTTGTTTGTTTGTTTGTTTGTTCTTGATGGAAGAGGGGAGAGGGGAGAGGGGAGAGGGACAGTGGATGGGTTTGGGGTTGAAGGATGGATGTTGAGTATCATCTTCCAAGTGAAATGGGGCTAGGCTGAGTTGCACTGAACGGAGAGCGGTCTTGTTGATACTTCCAATCATCTACTTGATGTTTTCTCCGTCTTCCCAAAGCCTCAATTTCTTCTTTACAACACCCATTTGTTCTATATCTGCCTGTTGCTATGGTGGCTTCTATAGGGACTATTGTGGGGTTTCCGACTTGTGGGCAATTGATTTATCCAGTGGGAAATCAACTACGTTGGCTATGGTTGTGAATTAAGGAGATAAGGTGGTTCCGAATTGAGGGATGCTGTAGCTTATCTCTGTGGGATGGAGTTCTACTCATCGGCCACTCTTATATCGAATATCTCTTCATGACTCTCTACTTCCTATCTTCCCTTGCTTTAAGACTTCTCTCAAAACCATACTCAAATTACAAACTAACTCTCCTCCTCTTCGTAGTTCTCGGCAAAAATGTTCAACACAGTTTACACTTCTGTAATTCCCCTAATCAAACAAAAATACGTATCAAAAGTCCAAATTATCTTTCGTCAACAAATTCAACCATGGCATCCAAGTAGTACCTTAGTGCACGAAGCCGGTGTCGCTGGTATGCTTTATCTTTCACCTTCTCTCCCAAGTCCCCCTCCCCATAACTAATCTGTTCCACTTAGTCCTAACCCTCTCACCCGAAAAGTTCTATCCTTTCTCTGCCTCTCTCTTCAAACAACAAAATGATTTCTTCGACACAAACGTCGTTAACGAAACACGTAATGCAACATACAAACGTCTCGCGAAGATAGGAGGAGAAGCAGAAATCGATGAGGAGAAAATGTATGACCTGCTGAAAATTGATAATAAGCCAGGTCCAGATGGAAGTATGAATTCTGGAAATGGGGTTACGAATCAACTTAAGGTGTTGGTTAAGATGAATAGATTGGTGGGGATTCATGTTACGCCAACGGTTGTTGTGAGTATTTCTTTTTCTTGACTGGATGGTTTCATTTGTGGTTCTGTGTTTAGAGAAGCGGGAAAAGAGAGGGTGTTGGATAAAATATACTAATTTGAATCTAGTTCGATGGAGTTGTGGAAAACTCCATCAGCAGCTCCTTCACTGCTGATCAATGGGAAGAATGGTTGGACAAGAACGTCGCATAAGAGCATTGTCTTTCCCATGAACAGTCGAGCATGTCTCGCAGCTCGGATTCGGAAACTGGGGTCATGAAAATTGCGGGTTAGATGAAATAGTGCATGGCTGAGAGGAGCTCGAATTCTTGGATGCCCGCGGGTAACATCTTGCTCTTTCTTGCTAGAAATGAATCCAAAATCCTGTATTACTTTTATTTCTTGTGATTTTTTGATATGGATGAAGGTCATATTGCAGGTAGCGGGAGTGATCGTTCCCTAGTGATCATATAGCTAGTGAGGAAATGCTAACGACGAGAACACTTTTCCTACACCTGCTCTATAAATTTATCATTAAAACATATCCATTTCCGCGTGCTGTTGCGAGTGTTTACGTTGAAAGTGATGATGTGTGTATTCATATTTACATATCTGTGCCTCAGCCGGATAGAATGGAATGGAATGGTATGGAGATCTTATCTCATTGTGTATATTGTGCTATTGTATAGTTGTGAGCGTGAGAGTGTGAAGTGTTCAACCATATCCGTTTGGTACTTGGAGATTCGAGGAGTATAAGTACGATGGGAAATTCAGGCGTGGCGCGAGAGATATTGCGATTTGGGTGTGAGACGGATGGGTGGGTTGTACATAAAGGAGATTGAAGATGAAGGGGAGAGAAAGATCGTCGGGATCTTTGAGGGTGAGCTTGAGTTTGGGTTTGGTAAGATGGGCGGATAGTGAGATGGGGTCTTTCTTGGTAGTGATGTTGGATGTGTAAATATTGAGAGGATATACTTGTACGTCATGATATGCCTTTGTCAATATAGTCATATTGATGTGGATGTGATCCCAGAGATTAGATGGTATTACCGGATACCTAGATTGACACTTCGATTCGATTCGATGCAGAGATGTTAGGACACGTGCTTCTCAATTGGAATTCTTGAATGGATTCTTGGATATGTCGATTGAGAGTGAGTGAGTGGGGGAGACACAAATTGTCAGCTTACATCTATCTCTATATACCTGGGGTGTACTGCGGAGGCTATGTATTTGCGTCGTGCGAATATGCTGCAGCTCACTGGAGATTGAATTCTTGGATTTCTTGGTGTAAATTTGTGAGGGAGACTTTTGTAGATCTATCTCTCAATATTATATCAGATTATTGATCCGGAAACTGCAGCGGGGTCTCGGTGGTAGTATATAGTGATTTCTCGCACGCGATATTCCATGGAATGGGAAAATGCAATTTTCAATAACTTCTGTTTGTTGCTTTTCGATGATTGAGTTGTGAACTTTCATGCATCAATCCCCGATTTCTGCCACACCACAGCAGACCAAGAAACACGATGAGAAAGAAGAGAAAATTTCCAGAATGTGATGAAATTATCATCCACTCGGATACTCACCATTTCAAATGTAACAGTAGCACGAGGAATCATCGCCTCAATCGAGGGTCTCTTGAGATCGTGCGTCTCATACCCTAGATCTTCATGCAGTTTTGAAATTCGGCCAGGGGCTATTCATTCTGCGGCGCGGTATATACGGAGTGAAGAAAATGGGCGAGGTAAATTGATAGAAGCTTGGAATTTGGAAGAGATTGGGGATGTTAGGTATATTACGTGATATCGATAGTATATTTGCATGATGAATGATACTGTATGCTTGGAGTAGATGAGATTGATAGAACCGGCTATTCCAAGAAGAACAAGGGGTTGCAAATTATTATATATGTAGGGTATGATTCTTACGGCATTCGCGTTTGAAAATCTCATCATTTGTTGGTGGTTGTTGGTAGTTTATTTTAACTCCCAGTGTAAAAACGTGGCCAGGTAGTATTTGGGAACTCAACATCAACCAGATGAGGATATTCGTACTTTGGTCTACGCGATGATTGGAGAGTGAATTAATCATCATTCTTGATTCGATTCGCTTACAATACTACAAACAAGCTTAATTGAATCCTGATCTTCATTGCCAGACTGCTTTCGAGATTGCTTCAAATCTTATCCACCCCTTCATCAAATCTCGTTTCTTTTCCCCATTATTTCGTGGTCAAGACGAGAGATGTGAATGGAAAGTTATGCCACCGATCCACAACTTTTCAGGCAAGATCCCTTGCGTGTTTCATATTCGTGATACTCTTTCTTATCAGTCTTTTAAATTTCAAGTAGAGCGCGCTTAACGTTCTAGCAAAGAACTCGCAATCAAATCCTCCTGTTAGATAAAAATACTTTCATTTTTGTTGCATTTTCATTGTATGCGGCCAAATGTCGGATCTCGGTTTCACAAGTTTCTAGAATCTCCTTTAACCGCCATGCTTTTCTTCAAGTCGGCGACTAGATTTGGCGTGGATCGTTCATGTAATCCATGTTGATTTTCATCTTCATTCAAGGGATCATGGGGGCTCAACCTACCATGTTGTAGCTCTTGGGGAAAACGGAAAATAAATCGGACAGGGCTAGGGATATGAGACCCATATAAATCCTTCACGTACAATCCCTAGGTTGGTTTGTACTCAAGGGAAGGTAAGCTTTGTTGACTCCTTCAGCTATTCCTAAACTCAGCTATTCCTTGAGACCTGGTTGATAATTTTTCTTCGCGCTCTTCATTCATTCTCTCGTTTTTCCAATCCTCTTACGTTCGTTCATAGTCTAAGAACTATTTGATTTTTGTGTCATTTCTTGAACTGGTAAACTCGGAAGTTGGTTTATCAGATCAAATCTTTCGAGACTTTTTCACATTGTACGGTACTAGATATCCACATCTGGGTTATTTTCGATCTGTGCCACGCTCATATCATCCTTACTTCCCCATCATTAACTTTTTGAATTCTGCCCCCCAATTATATTGGCATATTACTACATTCTTTACAGAGATAATGGCTTCACGAATATCAATAAGAAAACAAATCTTATTGTTTTGTTCATTTTCTTTACCTTTATTAGCATCAGCTGCCACGACGGATACACCAACCACATGTTATGTTATAAATGGACAACATAATGCCAACGCAGGTTATAGATGTGATAATTCAACAACGGGTCATAGTTCATGTTGCGCAGCTGGTGCAATATGTTTTTCAAATGGTGTTTGTCAACAAGCAAATGGGAATGTCCAAGATTATTTAAGGGTTGGATGTACAGATCCCACATGGAAAGATCCAGCCTGTTTAGATCAATGTACTAGTTGTAAGTTACATGAATTACGTTGGTGGGCTGGGAATACTAACCACTTCTCAGATGCTAGAAGTTCAACTGCTGGTATAAGATTTTGTAATGGAGCTATAACATCAACCACAGAATAGTATGTTCTACCAATCAAACAAATTTGGATTGTTCGATGCTGACCCAAGACAAGTTGTTGTGACACCGGTGCCGACGGTGTAGGGAGTTTTGCTTGTTGCGATAATGACACAGATATATTCAACATCTCGCCCGTAGCTGAACTCCTCGCTCAGGTTCCCCTCGACTACACCTCATCATCTTCATCATCCTCATCATCCACATCTTCTGCATCTTCTACATCTGCTACATCTTCCGCGACCACTTCATCGGCATCAACAACCACTACATCCGGCTCAACCACAGCAGCAACCTCCGAGTCAGCCGCCTCCCAAACATCCGCCGCCCCTCTGCCTACCGTAACCGCAACCTCATCTTCTTCTAGTCACGCTGTCGCCATCGGTGCCGGCGTCGCTATTCCCTGCGGTATCCTTGCGATCGCGGCTCTTGGGTGGCTTTTATGGAGAAAAAGACGCGCATCAAAGCAACAGGCTAATCAACTTCCTAAGAATGAAGAAGGATTTCCCGGCCAAGAGTATCAAAATCCAAATCAGAATTCACAAGCATATCAGCCTACAGAAGGAGCTTATGTGCAAAACCAACACGGAGTGGCTGGGCATGGAGAATATGGTCCAAGTGAAATTGGAACGGGATATCCACGGGGAAATTTGGGAGAGGCGGGTGGAATCGGGATGGCGGACAAGAAGGGATATTATGCACCGCAGCCGAGCGAGATGGAACAGCCGAGAACGGTGCATGAGATAGATGGGGGGCATTTCAGGGGGTAATGATATGACGGAGTGGAATTAAGATTTAAAGACAAAGTTAAGGTTTTAGGTTTTGGGGGGGTGAGATTAATGCAGGAGCGGCATGTGCAGGGGATCTTCCGAGGACCACCAATTCGACTCGACGTTGAAACCCAGAGGGTGCTGTGAGGAAAAAGAAGCGAACCGACCTCATAGGTCGTGATTACACGACAGGGCACGTGTACTCTGTGACGAAACGTCACTCGAGAAAGAAAGGCACCGATTCCCACCGAACGATACACCAAACTCGGAAGTCCGACATACCCGCATCTTTGTACATATTTTAGCGCGCTTCTTGTTTTTTATGATTTAGACGATGCGCTAAGCGGTATTATACCTTTTTGCAGCGGCTTTTATGATGGGAAATTGAAGAAAGAAGAGTTTATGATTAGTTATTTATTGTTGTAACTTTGTAACTCTGTTTATATTCATGGGAGGCGGGATTGGTAAATAAGAATTTAATTATTACATTGTTACTTTGAGGAAGAAATTTTTTGGTCAGTGATGGTGGTTTGTCTGTCTGTTTGATTTGGTGGTTGAGAAATTTCTGGGTGGGGATGGTGAGTGAATGAATGATGTTCTATTATAGGGGGTTGGGGGTGGGGAGGGGGGAACGGAGTATCTAAGTGAGTAGCTTTTTGGGGGGTAGGCTGAGGAAGTATAAATTGATGTTGGATCTTGTGCTAACTCCTCTGCATATTCTATCTCTGAAGAATCTTGGAGGAGGTCAAGGACCGTTTCCTTTCTCGCAGGTGGAAGAGCAGAATCGGATTCTGAACTCCGGAGTGATTTTTTTGTTGTTGTTAGAGAAGTGTTGATATTTTTGTAGATTATAGATTATTTTGCTGTTGTTGCTATTCTTCTTCTTCTTCTTCTTCTTCTTCTTCTTCTTCTTCTTCTTGTTGTTGTTGTTTTGGAGGACCATGGGGAGTTTTGTCATTCATATCGTGGCGGTGTTGTTGTTACTTGTTCTTTACGGCTGGATGTACCATCTCGTACTCTTATTCTGGTTTATCTCGATTCAAGTCGTTCGATTTGAATACGTCACGATTCGAACATACCACGATTTGCCCTGGAGTAAGACAGAAAGAGATACTCGTAACATGTTCCGAAGTCGCTAGCTCCTAATACTCGAGTGTAATTGTGATATGTCGTTGATTAAGAAGATGGGATTGGTGAGTGTAAATTGGGGAGGATACAAATTCATCATCTCTCGTAATGAGCTCGGTAAATGCGAACTCTAATACCTCTTGAGTTGTTAGGGGGATATTTGTAGCCTAGGAGGATAGTTTACTGTGTTATTTAGCTAGGTAGCTAAGTAGAAAATCAGAGGAATCAAGTTCGTAAAGGTAACGTGTAGAGTATCAGGCCTTGAGTGTCAAGTGCCTTTAATTTGGTTTGTATTTTATTATCGCATTATGGTTCATCTTGTGAACTACTACTGAAATCACTGCCATTGAAGTTACGAGTAAAAAGCTTTGATTCTAGTAACATCTCTTCTGGAGTATTTTACGAAACATCATCTACGAAAGGAGCGAGTAAAGTCCCAGATCTGTTCGTTCTCGACTTGTGAAATTACAATGTTGGTTCTTAGTTTCTTGCCGAGAACTTGTTTTGCTTATAGATGTGAGATATCGTAGAGATGAAACGGGATGTGAAATATATGTAGCTCGGTTGGTGGAGATCAAACAGACTTTTGTGATGGAGTTAAGTTATGCAACCACAAAGTTCAAATCACGGCTGCGGCTGTGATATGAGTGACTACATCAGCTTGGGTATATCTCGGTATGATGCAAAGGTTTCTTGTATATCTGGCAAGGGGTGAAAGAGATCCGCCTCGTGATTGACATTACGAAAAGGTGAAATTAGGGGAGAGTGTAAAAGCGTGACAGCTAGTAACAACGCCTTATAGATACTTTCATGGGCTTCAGTAAAGATCGGTTCTTTTGGCTATATAAGATTATCATGGTAAGAGGATGAGTATGCAAATATGAAGAGCCACTAAGAAGACTGGAAAATGGCAAAGATGATGTCCAAGCCAGAGGAACGTCTATCAATATGTAGTAGGATGACAGGGCTTAGGTTTGTCAATAGAGTGACATTTGAGACGCGAACTAAGGAGAATCCTATAGTGGGAATATCGCTGGGAATGACGATGAGAACGCTAGCTAAGAATGATGAGTGATGACAATGAAGTTAGGATTTCTAGGTAACAGTAGTGCGAAAGTGGCAGCAGTGAGGTTTGTTCGTCCTTTCAAATAGGTGTATTTAGTTACATTGATGACATAAAGAGACTTTCAACATACCATGTTCAAGGTCAGCGCTTATCACAGTGTCAAGCCTTAGTTCTTTTGGGACATTGCTAAGATTATTTTTCATACTGACTTTGAACCAAGACGCGGTTTAAATAGTTACTTAGACTACGACGAAAAAGGTGTGTTCTCTCGCCTAATCGTGTAATGGTGTAATGGTGAAGGAATCTTGTGAGAAAATTTATATAGAATAGGATATACAATAGCTCTACACTACATCATAAACATTCTCTTCTTTCGTAATTGATCAGAGTAAAAAGTGTTCTGAGTTGGGCTGGGCTGGGAGGACCGCAATTAATGGGAGACGCGTTATGGGTACGGGTCTATAGCCTTCTACCAACAGCGGACAAACATATCTCGCGTTCATTAACCTCCTGTCAAATTGAAATTACTATAGTTTCTTAGAACAGAAACCTGGAATCTCCTCGTAATCAATTTCTTTCATTTTCGAATCTCAACTGCATATACCAACATTTTAACAACCACTCACATACACCATACCATGTACCTACATTTCAACGTCCTCACACACACACACCATCCGTGATCTTAAAATGCCGCTCTCCCACATGTAATCATTCAAAACGGGTCCTTGCATAACACAGAAGCTTTTATGGGAAAGACACACTTTAATTGTATCAGGCATCACGTTGTAGGGGACTCAATGACGGTCTTTCCAGCGTCCACCGCCGTTTACCTCATCCTATGTATACCTTTCCATAGAATCATGCAGCAGGGATCTGTATACGAAATCGTATCTTCAGAGGTTCTGAGGGGAGTGATACACCCCTATAGGTTCCACCACTACATTCGAGATAGCATTGGCATTTTCGATCCTTCTGGAGAATGAAATCTCGTCGGAATCACTTGGCCCCAAAGCCTCAGTCCATTAAGCCAAGTTGTCGAAGTCCCAATTAAATGTTGGAAATGGCACTTTGGGGCTCGATTAGTGCAAACGGTATACTGTCTTGTGGTTTAGTAGATTGATTCATATTGACAGCACGGTGTCTAACGAGCGATTTCGATAATATTGGCAAAGGGCTAATGATTCTCGGCTCTCTGGGCCATAGAGCTAACCCAACTGCAATGTTAACCCAATTCGCATCGATATATTGACCTCTCACATACTCTAGAACGCGATGGACTCAATTTAGCGGTTAAGAAGATGGGAGATATCGTTGCTGGTCAGGTTATGGCCAGCTTCAAGCTTGCTATTGATGTGACAGACTTATGTGAACAGATATACGTGGCAGGAGATTTGACAGGTCGAGTGAAATAGTTGTAAGATGGTGGTGCAGCTTTGCCCTTACATGACATAAACAGATGCCGTTAACCGTGTACACACTACGCCACACATCAAGACTGTCTATCAATAGAAAAGTAAGGTTATCACGTGGTAATGTAGATTGCGCTACCAAGATATAGCCACCCGAGAGCCACTCGAGAGCCACAACTCTGACCGGGGCAGCGGGGATACTTGTAAGGCTGAGCAAGAAGTTACGCAACGAATGAACTTTTCAACGTCATTGTGAAGAAACCTTGTTACGCCAACAAGATGTCCAGACGAAGTAAACGAGAAAGAGAAACATTTGATGTTGGCATTGGTTAGAATCTTGGTATGAATACTTAGGTATGGTCTGAGATTCCGGATGCAGATATGAAAGACGTGGAATAGTCGTAGAAAGTACGACGTTGGAATTACCATCAAATCAAGGTACGGAGGGAAAACTACTCCCGAGGTTCTGCAAATGGAATGTTATTCGAGACATTCCAGAATTTCCATTGTCTTGTATGTTCTTATCCTTGACTTCAGTTTGACTCATACTCATTCATCGATCCTTTTTACTATTGAACACTATTATATCCTCAATCAACAAAAGCCAGCCAGTCTTCCTATTTCTCAAATTGATGAAGATAATTAACTTCCATTTATCCTTAATCTCTTGTTCAATCCCGGTTCGCCAAGATTTCCCGTCATGAAAATGACCCCTCCATTGGTTGCGGCTTCATACCCTGATTATGATGTATCTTTAAATAAAAATACATCGAGGCGGAGTCTGGGTTCCGTGCGAGAAAATATACCGACTGCGAATGTGAATGCGAATGCACATGGTGGGAATTATAAGCCGTACGAAGAAGTGAATGGGATCAATGGAATCAATGAAGATATAAATCATGAGAAATGCGATTCGAAAATAAAATTTGAGGATACAGCAAATAGCAAATTTACTTTCCCTTCAAGACCTGCGACAACAACGACGACGACAGCGTCGGCGAATACAAATCCAACGACTATAAACACGAATCACAGTCAATCGAATCCTCAACTATCTCACGATCGATCAAATTCTCAACATTCACATCATCCATCCCGTCTGAGTATTTCTAGCAAAGCATCTTCGAAGTCCCATCAAGAATATATTAATTCTCTCGTCATGCCACCACCCGAAGTCATTCAAGAAATCAATCATGTCCAAGAAGAAAAAGAGGTCGAAGGTATCGCGAGACGATTGAGTGAAAATCCAAATCTGAGTGAAGACGAAAGGAGGAAAGCCGCAGAACTTATACAGAGAAATTATAGAGGACATAGGGAACGGAGGATCCTAGAAGGAAAAAGGTTGGATGTTGGGACTCGATGGGTGGAAGCTGTTAAGGAGGCTAGGTATAGAAATTTGACGACACCGAGGGCGAGAGATAGTGGGGAGAAAGAAAGAAGTAGTAGGAGTTTTGATGTTGAGGGAGAATCGTCAATGAATACAGAAGGAATGGGAAGTTCAATAGCAGCAACACAAAATCGAACCTCTCACGCTCGAGAAAATTGGAAGAAAATTGGCATGATAGCTCGAAGAGCAGGTGGAGATGAGGAATCAGATGAAGAAAGTGATGAGGATTCTAGAGATCTAAATGAAGAAGAACGTGCCGCGAAACGAAAACGTCGAATGGAAGAAAAGGCAGCAAGACAAAAAGCAGCCAAAATAATGGATTTACAATATTTTCTTGAAATGGTCGATCTCAAACATAGGTACGGCTCGAACCTTCGTACGTACCATGGGGAATGGAAGAAGGCAAATACGAATGAGAATTTCTTTTATTGGCTGGATTACGGAGAGGGAAGATTTATTGATTGTCAAGGCTGTTCGAGGGAAAGGCTGGACAGGGAGCAAGTGAGATATTTGAGTAAGGAGGAGAGGTTGGATTACTTGGTCAAGATTGATGGAGATGGAAGATTACGTTGGGCTAAGAATGGTGAAAGGATTGATACGACAACGGAATGGAGGGATAGTATCAAAGGAATCGTGAGAAATGATGACGATACGCCGGTTTTTACACCATTAAGTGGTGAAGCAGATAACGAAGGGGAATCCGACAGTGAAAGTTCTAGCGATGAATCTCCTCTCCATCATCACTCACACCCACATATGCGCACACAATCTCAAACTCAAGAACAAAAACTCGAAGCCGAACAAGAAGAATCCCGCGCTTCTAAATACGCATCTCCCGAATATGACAACGCACAGGGCATGAAAAAGATTTCCCATATGTCCGCATCTACCATCTTCAATAAACTCCTTCGTGGTTCGGTCAAGAAGAATACCTGGATTTTTGTAGCCGATACTTCGTTTCGTCTTTATGTTGGAATCAAACAATCTGGTGCATTTCAGCATTCTTCTTTTCTTCACGGAAGTAGAATTAGTGCAGCTGGGTTGATCAAAATCAAAGATGGAAGATTGACAAAACTTAGTCCATTAAGTGGACATTATAGGCCTCCTGTCTCCAACTTTCGCGCCTTTGTTAAGAATCTTAAAGGCGAAGGCTGTGATATGGGAAGAGTAAGCATCTCGAGATCATATGCGGTATTAGTGGGACTAGAAGCATATGTTAAGACGAGGAAGAGAGCAAAGAAAGTTGTCGGGAAGGTGGTGAGGAGAAGAGATAAAATGTTGGATAAGGAGGAGGTGAGAAGGAGAGAAGAGGATGCAATGGATAAGAGTGAGAGTGCCGAAAAGGAGAGGAAGTTTTTGGAGGAGGAGGAGAGAAGGAAAAGGGAGGAAGGAAGATTCTTGGATAGGGTTGTGGGTGGTAGATTGAGAGGATTGAGTTTGGGAAGTAGAGATGGAGGGAACGCGACAAGTTCTGCTGGGATGGAGGCACAGAGGACGCATACGAGGAATGCTTCGATTGGAGTAGTCGAAAGTAATAAAATCCCTGCGGTGGATAAAGGCAAGGGAAAGGAAACGGAAAGGGAAAAAGAGGCAGAAATCGATGTTCCGGGACAAGGCCCCGAAAATGCTATTCCACCGCAAGGAATAAGGGAAGAATAACCGGATGAATTTATGAGTAAATGAATCTGCGAATGAATTGAGCGATGATATTTGAAGGAAGATTGTTGAGTATCGATCTGGCTTTGATTGAAGATGGATATATAGTGGGCTTTTGGATTGGTTCAGCTCGTGGGTTAACTTTTCTGTATTGGACGTGGACGTGGATGTAGGTGGATGTAGGTGGATGTTTGGATGAGATGATTGGATAGCGTTAGCGAAAGCTTGAGAAGATGATGATCGAGTGTACCTCGTATGAGGTATATAATGTGCGATATGATACCCTTTATAGAATTCAAAGATATTAAAAGTCATTTTTGGTCTGAGATTCAATGAAGATGCGATGATTGAAGTTGAGGTAAGTGATAGAAATTATTGTGTTGAAGTTTGAGGAGAAAGCCAGGGGAGTCTCTTGTGATATTTGAGAGTTTTTTGGGTTTGGGGGAGTGGATTTGGGTGATGTGATGATGATGATAGGCAATGACAATGGTGAATAATAATAAATCATAGGGATATAAACACTAAGGTTAGTAATGATAACACATACTACCAAAGCTCGACTAAAGTTACTGAAATTAGACATTCGCAAGACTTCAGATGCATCTTCGTCGTTCAAATACAAAGATTCTAGTGTCATTTTTACAGAGTTAATTATTCGTTTGTGAATGAGTTTTCGATGTGTCACGCATACACGCACGTCACTTTGACGGTTATTGTACTTTGAGAGTCGGATATGAATGAGTGATAGGTTTGATTGAGATACTTCTGGAAATGAATCTAAGCTTTGAGATTGTGACAAAGTTATATTTTGTTATTGAATATATAGAAGTCGGTCCCTCCTTGACTTCCTTCCCCATCATACATTACAAATAGGAGCCATCCCCACAACATGGTCAAGACTAGATTCTTTCAATTTTCATACTAGCATTGGGATTGAAATTCAAATCAAAGACCGAATGAGTAAGTATACAAATTCGAGAGTTTTGCTCTAACAGTCGATCAAGCAATGTCATCACGCCGCATCTTGTTATGGTCACGCAGTTGGTTCGCTTCGGAATTCATCACTGAATTTGCGTTTGTCACGGACGGAGATATTTCCCCTGGATATATAGGAACATTTAGAATTGTGTCATCAGAACCTGGTTTGAGCAAATACGCATGTATAGCTCTAATCCTGTCCGAATTCAATCATACTATGTATAATATGAGTGTTCGATGGTGGAGAGAGGACGTTTACACCCACGAAGAGTTCTAGAGAGCTGATTGCTAGCAAGGAAAGCCATCTAAAAAATATTTCTATCAGAATGGTCAGGTATCAATCTATTTTGATTTCTGTCCTCTTTAACTACGCCATTATCTGGAACCTATAGTGGATATACACGCCTGAAACTCACATGCAGCAACTGCCGACTATTAGTATAGAACAGAAAATGCCGGGCTATATATTATACCTATAACCAAGAACTTAAGCCAGATTTCTTTTGGATAGGAGGATGAGTTAGTTGTGCAGCCATAAGAGTGAGGTTTAATCCTCAAGTGGTAGTATAAAGAGACTTCTATCATTCACAAATACGTCGTCAAAAATTCAGATCAGAAACGAACCTATTCTCGTAGGCGAGAGCTAGGATAATGGAATTTTGTGCATAAATCTCGGATATGAACTACTTGTGGCAATTTTGACAGGCGAAAGAAGAAACGTGTTGTAATTGTGTGCATGAGCAAGTTGACAATAAAGTGTACTTCTAGCATTGGAAGGATGGAAATGATAGTGTGTATGTGATGAGCTGTAACTGGGTGAGGAAATTAGGGGAAAGGAGAAGTGTGACTGTTTGTGAAGAATAGAGTTTGATATGGGTGGAATTAATTTTAAATAATGTAATCATGACTCGATACGAGGACTAATGAGGTAGGCGTGACTATATTGCCTAAGACGTTTTTTGAATAGCAGCGCCCGATGGAAATGTACTCATTTGTAGATCAATGACTTTATATACATTGATCCGACGCAGTGGAATAGAATTTCTAGACACACAAAATCAAAAGAACAATATTCTGTAATGTAGGCAATCAAAGGCATGTTCCTAGATTCCCTCAACCCCAAATCCACTCTGAGCCTCCAGAACTTCCCACTATATACATCCATAGCGTCGATCCTGTGCCACAGAAGATTCTCAATCTCAAATACATAAACCCACGCGTCTTCAAAAATGTAACTACAACTTCGAACAAATTACGAGGACACCACAGACAGGAAAATCAAGCACCCAATGATCCGACTGGAAGTCCTCAAAATCCCTTGGTGCAAACTCCACTGGAAATGGTGTAAGATTACAATTCAGGGACTTGTGATCTTCTCGTCGAGAAATAGAAATTTTATTGCCATTAATCCATCAGTGAATACACACTGTCGATTAATGTACTTGCGTCTTGTTAATGAAGTTAAACACTCGTTTACTTTTATTTGGCAGGTAGGAGAAATTCCGTTAAGACCGCACTATAGAATCAGCCTTCAACGATAGCTTTATGGCCCATAATGATTCCCTCGAATCTAGTTGGTTCTGTGCATGGAGATTCTGGTAGAGAGGAGAATGATATGTTTATATAGCTTGAAATGTGTAAGCGATGCGTGTCTGGTTTGGTAGACTGAATGGAAGAGAGCTTAATCGAGCGGATTGAAACGGATAGATACTGATGCTAGAGTCCACAAATCTTATCTCATACTGCCCTGCACTCATGCAAGATTCACGGCTCTAATATCCTGTGTATAAATTTAGGGAATCGTGTTCTCGTGAATGATATATAATAGATTCATTTCCTCTACTTCATGTTTCTACATCTGCAATTTAACAGAAAGGGAGAAATATATTCACAAGGCCCTCACTCCCATCGGTCTCTCTAGAATCGTTCACTCCTATATCCACTCCACAAGGAAAAGGGTTTGTATTCAAAACGTGATGGATGAAGCTCTCATTATTATTGCTAGACATCAGAGCCGCTGTCATAGATCGATCACTGTCAAACTCTATGCTACATCTCCACGCTTATGATATGTCTAGTGAATCTAAGCATAAAAACTAGGAAATGGAGCACACACAGCCGCACTTACTGTATGTTTTCTTTGGACTGCAGTCCAGTGAAGTGGAAAGTTACTCGAAAGAGACTGGGTTTCGGCCACAAAGCACGCTCAAGTTCCCTCCATGACTATATAAAAAGCGCCTTCTCGTGAAAACATGGTGAGCTCATGTAGACGAAAACACCTCTTTCCGCGGTTTGTTGATGGGTTTTTATCAAGAGCGCTAAAGCGAATGCTATATACTGAGATCTCGTATTGAATTTTTGCATGGGTAAGATGAAGGCTCACGCAAGTGTGAGTGTCAAAGTTCACAGCTGCTGGCGGCAACTGTTGAAAAATGTTGTCATCTATTCAGTGAAGAAGCAATGACAGAGCAAAATCAACAATCGAAAAGGAATTTGATGAGATTTGCAAATCACCCTCCTGCTTAGAAGAACGATTGCTCGAAACATTCTAACCATGCGTGATGATATGCATTACTCCACGTATAACCTCTCCATTAAAAACTTCCTACAATTTAAGCCTACCGTTATTGAGTTCAAATTGCTACCAGAACTCTTTCTCAAGAACCTTCTTTATATACTTAGGAAGACAATGCAATCTCCAATGAACGTCGTCATCTCGTATTGATACCCCCCCTCCCCCCACTCATCAACGCAACCAGATCCCGTGAGTTTCTCCGCACTTAAGTATATAAAAAGACGACCAAAGATCAAATTCACGACATAGTATATGAAACTAAATGGTGGTGATGATGAAAAATGGCGAGATTTACAAGAAATGCCACTCATGAATTCTGGATAGAGTCGTTTATACTAAGCCACCACTTGGTTGAAAATTTTGAATAAGTTCATCTTTAGAAGCATATGGACGAGAAGAAAGCCACAATAAATCAACCGTGTGAGTGCCTCTTGAGAAAATAATAGGGACTGATAAAATTTCATTGCTATAAATAAGTGACACGCCGTGTCTATACACCAGCCACTATACAGCCAGCCCAGACAAACAAATACAAGTCTCTCAATCTCTCCCTTCTTCATATGAAACGCCAACCCTGACACAATGAAAGCCCTTCGAACTTCTCAATCTTCGATCCTAAGCATACATATCTTCTAGAATTCATACAAATATTTATCTCGTCTTGCCGGAAGAAACACCAGCACCAATAACACCTGGCAATTTTTCATCACCAATGCTATACAGCATACCAATCCCCCAGGAGACAAGTCCAACGAGGACTAAACTGGAAATGAAGATCAACCAGAATGGCCCGCTGATATCTTGTTTCTGGCAAGCAGATCCTCCACGTCCTGAATCAGCGTCACATCTACAGGCGAAACAATCGCCAGACTGGGACGTGTATTTCTTGTAGCAAGCGCCCATTGATGAGCAGTTATTGGTAGAAGAGATACAAGAGTCCAAGGAAGCGTGGCAAACGGGAAGAGTTGTCTTGATGACGGTATTGTTGTTGCGGGAAGAATTGGAACTTGGGGCTTCTTGTACTTGATGGTCGACAAACTCAGCCATTGGTTCTTCGAATTGTTGTCTGCTAGAGAGCTTCTTTTGTGAGGGTCTAGTATAAGAGCCGTAAGAGCCGCTACCTCTGCGGGATTCAGGCATGAGAACGACGATAACGTTCATTTCTGCTTTTGAGGCAAATTTGGTCAATCGTTCGTAAGATGTGTTGATGAACTCCTTGTGCTGTCGCAAACATTAGCAATTAACCTCACGAAGGGAACGATTTTCATACCTCGGATTTCCTATTCAAGTCAAGGTGCATAATCTTCGATTTTCCATTCCAACATTGATCTGCGAATGGGTTGATAGCATCGTCGAGGGTACATTCCTTCGCCTTTCCGACTTGCAACTCCAAATCATCTGCCAACTTTTCTGTCGTCCTAGCTGTAGGTGGATTCAAGATTGTGAATGCTGGCTTGATAGAAGATAACGAATTTAATAGTGATCCAGCCGTCTCCTCGGATACACCCTCAACAATGATAACCAACTCAGCCGCCCTGTCTTTTGGCGCATCGTTGAATAATGATTTCAGTTGACCTCCAAACTTATTGATGTATTTAATCGCCTCACTGCCAACCGATCCGACATCATGAAATTGTGATACGCCCAATCGTTGTGCGAGGACGAGTCGTGCTTCATTTGGAGAGAGAGCTGGAGGTGATATTAGGTCGTTTGGCTTTTGTTGGCCTTCGAGGATATAGGCAAGAGCGGAATCTGATGCAGCACAAACTGTACTGGCCAATAAGGGCAAAAGGAAGCTGGAGGAGAGCTTCATATCTGTTGATGAATTTTGTTGATTTGATTCGAGAGGCTCATACTAAAATGATCTTCTGGGAAGCGTTGACGCTGATAACCTCAAGGTGTTTGTACCAAGCTAAGCACAAGTTAGACGCTAACCACTTTCGAATTAGGCTGATATCATAGAATATGCATTCATGATGTCCAGAGAAGTTCCAGATCACAAATTGAAGATTGTTCGAAGACTCTTGGGTATATTTTCGGAACTTTTGGAATATATAGTATAATAATTGATTGTAATTGTCTTAACTTTTTACCCATTGAAGCTATTTATTGTTCGGTATTACCGTATTATTGACCCAAAGTTGAGAATTTGGTCATCAAAGGCTTTCCTTGTGTGTAGGTATTTATTTGCTTTATTCGGAGATAAATGGATACAATGCCGACTCAGTATTTTTAGAATATCTACCTCATCCATCTTGCGCTCTTGTGCTTTACTACCAAATATCTTCAACTTTCACACCTACCCCAACGACTATCGTTTGATCACCAGCAATTCCCACCCGTAAACTCTACTGGATCTCGCACCGCCATCGCATTCGTGGTACCCGAGAATCTATTCATTTCGCCACAGATTTCGCCATCAAGGGCTCGCCAACTCGAAGGCGGGCCTTGACTTCTACCCCTCACGATGTTCCGATTCATTAAACCCCGGTTGACGGGTGCGTGGGCAACGAATGTACGGGCAAGATCAGGACCTAGTAGCTCTGCTGCGAATTCATTATCTATGCGCAGCAATGCTCAGAGATTCGCAGGAAAGGCATCACATGTGGTTCGCTTCAGGAAACCACCTATTAGAATAAGGTATACATGCTCGGACTCTGGCCGCAGGAAGGATATGTGCTGATGATACATAGAAACGTCGCCATCAGCTTTATAGTGGTATACGCCTGCTTTGAAGTTTACACCAGACTAGTTCTCGGTCCCTTGGACAAGGCTGCTGAGGAGGCATCGAAACACATACCGGACGAGGAATGGCAAGAGGCCGAACCACCATTATTTATACCATTTCCTGGCACTACGAGACAGCTACCAACTGTTCCTTACAAAGGAACTGATCCAGAATTCCAAGAGTTCATCAAGATTAGCCAGGATACAAAGCTTATGAATAAACTTAGGGGTTTGTTTACTGCCCAACTTATTTGAATTACTAGTTATGGTTACTGACATTCTTCAGTTGACTTGACAGAAATAATGCGGGATTTTGCTTGCAAAAGTCCGATCGTTGTACAAATTGCTGGAAAGAACCTAAAAAGCAGAAGGATTTGGCTCGACATTGACTTTCCTTCAATTCCTCCGCCGTCATTCGAAAGATCAGGGTAGGTCGCTCGCCGTTAAGTCATATGGATTGAGACTAATGTATATCAGGATCGAAATTTCGGATGATGCAATATCCTGGGTCACACAGCCCGTCGATGCCCGAATAGTATACAAAATCCGAAATGTTTTATGGCCAACGGCCCTTTTTCAATCTTCATGGAGTTTCATAAAAGTTCTGGCCGCAGAAGAATTAAAAAGCATAGCAGGGATGTTTGGCGTGGAAGTTCAAACGAGTCCTGCTCAACAATCACTGGAGCAGATGTTAGCTCGGTCACAAAGAATGATGAAGGAGTTGAAAGGCCAACAAAAGGTACCGGGGGTGTTCAAGGGCCACTAGATGCGAAGGATGAGCCATCACAACAGCATCTGGATGATAAAAGTAAAGAAATTAGGGACATTACAGGATCTGGAAAATCAACCGTGATAGAGGAGATTTTCCCTGCACTTGTAAACAGTATCAGAGATATTCACGCAGGCTTTGCAAAACCCATCATGGCAGCCAAATTAAAATATGTCGAGGCCAACAGGAAGTTGCGGCCAACTCAAAACCTTCATCCAAGGGGTTCTATCACAGTATCTGGATTTGTCGAACTGGAATCTGACAGGGCTTTCCTGGTCTTTGATGTCATCGCAGCTTGGGATCCCAAAAAGAAAGAATTTGACGCTGGAAGTATGCAACTCAAACTGAGAAGAATGCAAAGGAAAAAGCAAAGACCTATTGGGTTGCCACGCAGCCCAGTCAGCTGATAGTACTGTACTTAGTGGATATCGGGTTCTGTTTTGAGGCGTTCATGGTGGGTATCAAGATACACATTGATTTTATGATAAGGTGTTTGGGCACATGGAACAATAGAGTCCCATACTCTACTAATGGAGTTGGATTTTTACCAGCGTTTTACCTTGGACTAGTCTAGAGAGGCAAGGTTTGGGGGTAGGGAAACGATGGTTCGGGAGTGGATGACAGTATCTGATGTACTACCCATTTGATTAATAAGCAAAATAGCGAGTCAAAGTCAAAATTGATATGCCCTTTGTTGCGATTCTTCTCTAAAACTTCATTCATATGCATGCACATTCTTTAGGTTTGCGTATTGTAGTATTATGACATCATTGTCGTGTAGAATTCTAGAGTCAATGCGTTTTCTTTCGTTTCCATAATTGGCCCCCAGGGGTTCTTCACCCCCCCCCTTTCAGAATTTTGAGGCGGGCTGTCTATTGCGTTTATCAACTGATCTTTTTCTATATTTCGCTGTCTTTAATATGCATATGAACCATTTTATTCACATGCCGTTGTGATCGGTATATATTTACCCAATGAAAGCAATGATTGCGCATTACATTCCGCTTGATTGATGCTACAGAGTCAATCTATTAAGGACTTCATTTTCTACTTTGTCTCGTTTGTGAATGTTGTCCTTGCGAAGTCCTTGCAGAGTTCTCATTTCCCTATTTATCCTCTTTTCTTACCACAAACATTTATCATTTGAGGAATCTTGGTAGAAGGTCAGCTGTGACTATTGTACAATTCTTCCTTTGTTGCTCCCTCATATATAATGGTGACCGAATGCATCTTTCATAGAAGCTATTCTCAATTGTATGACTTCATCAATCGATTGAAAACATTGCGTCCTAGCAGCAAGTGTTCTCTCGCTAAAAAAGAATGAAAATTGGGTGTATAGATTGAAAGTTATCGACTATAAACTACCTAGTGCTTACTCCTATTTGCTGACACGCTCTCGAGGTGTCTCTCTGCATTCTAGATCGAGACTGGTATCTTGTAACCGTACCCCTTACCGTTCAGTACCATATGCTTACAAACGGCTGGCTCATGAAACGAGGGATATGCATGAGGGGAGAAGAGGACGTTAGTAGTGAGCATTGTCGCATTTATAATTATACGTGGATAGTGACGATGCGACGTTGAGAAAATGTTGGGAAGCAAGGAGACATGAGGAAACAAGATTATATAGTCGAGGAGCAGTACTTTATCTCATGTTTGAGTAGACTTAGCGCCGGGGCAAAGTTTAAGATTTCGAATTCAATCACGATGCTCTATTAGATAACGAAACAGAGTAGCATTCTTAGAAAAGACAAAAATGACACAACGTGAAATTTTGACTTTGCTTTTTGATGGAATGTGAGATTTAGTACCATGTGGCATTTCATTCGTTACCAGGTATTAGTTAGAAAGAAAGAAGCAACAATGATGTCTCTCTGACCTGAAAGTCTTTTTCAAAGAACACTCGACGCCCTCAAACATGGAAGGCGCGAATGAACTTGCCACGCGAATGATGAAAGCGGGAAACAAAAGATTGGCATCAAGAAGAGAAAACAGAATATGAAATTGCACAAAAGAGGGATATTAACCTACTATTCCAGCAAACGTGATTCACGAGAGAGAAAAAGAAAGACTTACGCTTCAGAATCCGGACATAATTTGTGGCAAAAAAAGATCACTTGACCAAAAAAATATAGCAAAAGTTGTATAGCAAAGAGAAAAGAACACTCAAAATATCCATCGACTTGGTAGATTCCGAAGAAACACTCAAAGTAGCGATTGACTTGGTAGGGCTTTTCGATGTCTCGCACAGGAGACCACTCGAAGTAACGATGGACTTGGTAGTTTCCGAAGAAAGACTCAAAGTAGCAATCGACTTGGTATATCTGATGTGTGATGAGGAGGAAAGAAGAAGAAGAAATTTAAAATGGGCGTGGGGGATGGGGTTTATATAGGAATTTTGGGATGGAGGGGATCAGCATTATTTGATTTAGTATGGAGCTATTGGGTGGTTAGGAGGTACCCAAAACTACTCGGGAAGTATATCAATGTTAGACTTTTATTAGCAGTGGTCTGCGATGTTAGAACATGATGATTATGCCACTAACAAAGGTTTGGCGCAGTAGACTAGCTGGACACTGTCATCAATTTTGATTGACCTTATTATATCATCATTAACGAACACAGAGAAGTAAGCATTTTCTTCAGGATTTTTCAGTATATCAGAATCGCAGAAAACCTCATCCAAAAGTCTGTCTATTAATACAATTCATAACATGAAGACATGCACAAGACGATCTGTTAGCATGTTCTAGCGGAATTGAGTAGCTTCGGAAGGCTCCGAGGTAGTCGATCCATATGATATAGCGGAGAGGAATAAATTCACTGTTTTGATCGATGTTCTTGTTTGATTAATCCTCGTGATTTGGATCTCCTAGATCTCCAACACAGTAACTTGGCGATCATAATTCAAACTTGATTGGGGCAAAGCAAATAGTTATCAGTCATATGTAGGCGGCGAGGATGAAGGCAATAATTAGGGAATGGCCGTGAAGCGGATTCATGAGTTACACCTAAAACTTGAGCTTGTCAAAGTGCTTGTTAGGGTGTACCTTGTAAATTGATAAGATTAGATGTGCAACAAACTTATTTCACACAGCTCTGAATGATTTGATTGGAAGTTTCAATTATCAAGTGTTTACGTATTTGCACCTAGCCGCGGCGTCTAAGATACATTGACATGTACTACTTGAGCCAACTTGCCAGGAAATTCTTTGTAATTCGAAGATATCGGATGAGGAAAATATCTTTCAAGTCACAAATGTAAAGCTATATTTTGTATAAGCTCACTGGAGTGGGACGTGACCACACTTGGCTATAATAGCGTAGTGATTTCATCCTCATTAGATCATAACAACATCACGCTCTTGATATATGCCCACATCGGCCCAATGCAGATCTTGATCTGAAATTCCAGCTAGAAGTTTCAAGTGGGGGCCCTGACAGTATGACAACGACACTTGGAAGGACACATCACACCAGGGAGGAAGTATCGTACGCTGCCAGCTTTATCATCGACGCTAGGTCATCCTTCGGCAACTGCCTACTCCCGAACTATCGCAAGGAACGAGTCTGTGCCATGAAAGTTTCATTGTTGAGGTCCTATGGAGCGATTGAAAGTGCAAACTGAGGAATACAGTAAAATATAGTGGTCCCTATCATACTTGATAGATCAGTGACACAACTGCAAAGGGTCATCTAGACGTGTGGCATTGCTCTCATACGGCTCGTGGAGTCGCAGTGAAGCAATCAAGAGGTAGATGTATAAAAACAACCTGAAGATCTATACTGAACAGTTTATGTAGCATTGATGATAACTTCATGCCAAACAAATACACTGCGTACCACCTAGTATGGGGTAATTCTAAATTTCTAATCCAAAATGCACACAGGTTGAGAAACACCATCGATCATTATTGACAATGGTACTTGCATGATAAGCTTGATGTTAGTAACTGCGTGAAGGTCTCAGTGTATATATGGTGGGTGTAAAAATGTCGTTGAGCAACTGACTTATATTCTTGGCTCTAAAAACATCCCCCTGGATCCTGTGATAAATTCCCACCTGACTGAGAAAATATTAGACATGCAACAAAATCTAGATTTCTCTGTCACGGAATAATCATATTCTGGTACTGTGATTGGCCAAAACTTCGCCGTCGAACGATATTTGATGACACATACTACATGACCAATTTAAGCACAGTGTTTCAGAAGGGAATCACATGATCTTTCTTTTCCCAACCTTCATCTTCTCTTGTCTGCAGTGTGCTTTAAGTAGACGAATACCTCTGAAGTATGCGAATTAACTCGAACATAGCAAGCTTTATATTGACGAAATTCAAATACCTACATGCAGATCATGTCAATAATTATGAACGTGGCGATACTTCAAAACCTTTGAGGCGCAATCGGAGAAGTGCCTCTGCTGTCCCTCAGTTGAGAGGATAATAACCCTTCTCTTAGTTCAAAAAGACGTTATCGCATTCCATCAGCAGATCTCAGGTCCGAAGTCTGAAGAGACATGAAATTCAACGATGGAATGACTTTTGTCTACGGTCGTCAGATCACCTTCAACTTTCTCCTGCAGTCAACTCTGATGGGAATCTTGCAGCGCTCTACTGAAGTCTAACATTCCAGCTTCAGCTATTGCTCGGATCACTTCTAAACATTGAAATGCCCATTCAAAATCTATAGATCAAGAATCTGTACAAACGATCATTTGAAACGGTAGACAGGCCTTGTTCATGATAGTAGCATGATCCCACCGCTTCCCCTCCCACCGACTTAAGGGCAGAAGTTGCAATACTTGGTCGTTGCTTGACGTCTTTTCTCCAATCATTGCCATTTTTGAACAACTAGCCTGGATGTTTCATTCACCCCTCGGGCCCAGAGGCTACCTGCAACGATGAACTCAACGGTAGGTCGCTCCTTTCTGCAATGTGCCGTTTTTCCGTTCAATACAGCTGGATGAAATGGTTTCATTGCTGGATCTTCGTTCTTCGCAGGCTTTCCTGTGTTGTATCTAATGACTTTAGACATTGGTGACAGCACAATGTGGAGTTATCTTACTCGAACCAGATCAAAGCAAAGACTCAGAATCCGATCACTATCTAAACCTTTTGCTTTGTTTGGGATCTGTACTACAATGAATAACGTTGGATATACCATGCTTTAGGGACAATATGGAGTGCTACCAGAAGCATAGCCCATACGACAAGCTAGTATCCTTTTGTAATAAGGCGATCCAGTTGTCTACCCTCCAGTCAATTTGGAGAGTCTTCTGCGAGACTTCTTTCCCGCCTAGCAATTTGCTTTAATTTTTGTTTGTGTGGTCTTCAGTATTATTGGCGGTTCTATTGTTCCATTTCACGAGAGACAATAGCATAGACGCCAATGCCCCAAAAGAAAAGTGAATCTCTCTTCGACATGACATTCACTTTTAAATCTAGCCTTACTGTTATTATGGTCGAGCGAATCGTCCCTATTGTACGGTTGCGTTAGTTGTATTCACCACAAGAGAATCAATCACTTGCTAGTGTGAATGGCACAGTTGAGCTGTACCGCAAAATTATATCAGTAGGAACTTTGGTCTTTCTCTCAATCCTTTTTTTCTTCTTTTCCTCTTCTCATGAAAGCAATTCAAAGAAGTCTATCACATCAGTTCTTGCTTTCTATCAGCAATTTACCTGCTATAATACAACTTCTCAAAGCTTTCTGATTCTCACATTTCACATTTCACAATGAATCCCGATCTCCCACCCAACGCTGCATGGGCAGCCAATGCTTTTGCTCCAGGAAAGAAGGGGTCTACCATTTCTATTACCACCAAGAACGGACATTCAACGTTCGGCACTCCAGCTCCAGTCCTCCCCACTCCCGCCAACCCTCCTCCAGCGGTAGCTCCGCCAAAGCGCAATAAGGGCACCCCGTTCTCAATGGCAGGTAGCCTATTCAACCAACCTCCAACCTCTTCTCCGCCACCCGCTTCTCACCTTCCACCGCCATATGTTCCATCGTCATTGCTTCCACCAACAGCGGCGGCTGCTCCAATTCCATACGGAAATTTCCCTCCCTACACCCCTTCTACTACCCCATCTACGCTCGCACCAACTCCCCCGTCTTTCCTTCCTCACCTCCCTTCGGCACCAACACCAGCGCCAAATTTCCCGGCTTTCTCTCTGTTTACCTTTCTTCAGCCCCCACAAGTCCCTTCCGCTGTCGCACCCCCAGTGCCAGCACCAATGTTTGGTTCGGCACCTTTCTCCTTTTCTTTTGCTCCTCCTGTACCGGCAACAGCACCAGCGCCGAATCCTGTCGCTTCAAACCTCTTCTCTTCTGCATCGTTTGGGCAACCCGCATCGGCACAAATAGTATCTGCACCAATGCCTCTTCCTCCTTCCTTCCTTCCTTTGTATGCGCAGCAACGACCTCCCTCACCATTTTTCTCGCCGGTTTCGGCACCCATTCGGTTCTGTCCTCATCGACCCGCCGCTCCAATTCCCGCCGAGCCTCCTTCTCCTGAACTTTTCTTTGATTCGGAGAACCAGAGAATCACAGAGGAGATGGATTGTAAGTTCTTGACATTTTCTTTCATTTCATACAATCACATGCAAGTTTCCTAATTCGTGGAGTAGGGTGTACAGATGAATACTCGCAGCATATCAATAGCTTTGAGGAGATGCAATGGGATCGAACTGACGATTACTTAATGGATTGTTACGATCTTCTATAAAGTATTTTTCCTCGCCTGTTTTACTCATAACAGACCTATTTCGGAAACCACCTCCTTCATTACGAATTTTTTGGGGAAGGTGCAGTTGATTACTCTCTGGAGACTTAGGGGCCTCGATTGCGACTCGCCGTTATTGAGGTCAGAGTGTCACAACAAGAAGCCAATCTTGATTGCTACTGCCATTGAGTTCTGGTAAACTCATAATTGTTTTGCTACATGATGGCTTCTCGACCTCTCTCAACTCCATCTCCACTCCACTCCGCACAGCCGCCATGATATGCTACACTTGCTCATCCAACACTCCCGAATCCCATCTCATAATCTACCTAGCTCTCAATTTGCTTCTCACACTCTTGAACAAAAGTCTTCTCTCTCAAGCATGTTCTTTCATCTCTTCTCAAAACAAGTTCCTCTACTAACAAACCACAGTATCCATATCCATGGCTTCTTACAGTATGGCACGCACTATGCTCTTCCATGGGCACATGTGTTTCTCGACGACTTGATCCTCAAAATATTGAATATCGAAGTCAAAGAAAGAATTATTATATACTCCTGTTTTCCATTTTATACACGGTTAATATTGCGGTCAGCAATGTCTCACTGTAAGTCTCCAATTTCCCCTCCCTCTCATCATCCTTCCATTCGAATCCTAACTAACCCCCCAATAGTGGAATAATGACTATCCCTGACCACCTAGTAATCCGCTCCACCATCCCCATTTTCGTCCTCATCCTCTCCCTACTATTCCGTGTACACACAAAACCCTACTCCCCTCTCACCATCCTCTCCCTTCTCCCCCTCACTCTCGGCGTCCTCCTCGTCTCCCACGACTCCCTCACCCTCACCCTCGACACCACGATACTCTGTCTCCTCGGCGCCCTCCTCTCCGCCTGCAAAACCCTCTCAACCAACTCTCTACAAACCCACCTCTCCATCCCCGCTCTAACAATCATCCACCACGTCGCCCCTCTCGCCGGCATCCAAGCAACAATCTGGTCGTACATGAACGGCGAAATCGACGAATTTCTCGTAAAACACATATCCTCCACCTCTTCTCCCCTCTCGACCTCTTCTTCCGGTATCCTTCTCATCCTCACGAATGGTCTCGTAGCATTCCTACTAAACTGGTCAAGTTTCACCACGAATAAAGAAGCAGGCGCCCTTACGATGGCCGTGTTGGGAAATATTAAACAGGTCATCTCGATTGCGATTTCGATTGTGATTTTTAGAGATGCAAATGCATCATTCACAGGATTTGCTCATATCTTCGGGATGATTTTGGCGCTGGGAGGTGGATTTCTGTACAGCTTGGTGGAAGTTGGAACATTTGAGAATTCAAAGAATGACACATTTGGTCATTCAAAGGTTGGCCACTCTGGGAATGTGGAGGAAGACATAGGAAGTCGAAAGACAGTACACATGTTACATGAACTGAAACCCCGTCATTTTTGGGAAGTGAAAAGATGGCGTGTCGGGGTTTCACGTCTCACTATCATCTGTTGTGGATTGGTTTTCACCTTTACTGTTTTGTTCTTTTGGGTTTCGTTTTCATTAGTATAGTTGTTTGATTTTTGCTTTTGATTTGAATCGAGTTCATTGGGTTCGGTATGGATATGGGTCGGAATTCGGATTCGGTTTAGGTTCGATTCAGTTCAATACTATCTCGCAGTTTTGCAATTATTTCCCTTTCCAACTCGTATGTGTCTTTGTGACTCGTTTGAATATATGTGTATATGCAACTTCCTAAACTCTTGCCGGTTCTCCCATATACTCGAAATCAAAGACATGACAAGTCTTCATTTTTAAGAGGCCCAAATGCACCCTTGAAATAAATACATATAATGCAGCCACCAACATACGATAACATAATATATCAAGCATACAAGTCATTCCAATCACTACCGTGTGTCACGGCATTTCTCGCAGTAAGATACAGCATCAACACATCATCTTTCTAGCCTAACACATTTTTCTCCTTCCATTTCTATATTCCTCCATCTGATCATTATACCAATGCCAAGCTTCCAAGATCTCCAAGCAACCCGGCGATTATCTTGAACAATGACACGCACTTTTCCAGCCATTCCAAACCCAATGATACGCCCAATTGCTCCCTCTTCATACCGCTTTCAGGCCAATCCAGCGATCCTGTCCAATGTATGACTCCTTATCTGATGAATCCGACCTTTTCCTCCCATGCTCCTCGAAATTGTGTATGGAAATTTATTTATGTACTCATTTGATAATTTCTTGACCCAAAATATAAAAAATCCGATGATGCAAAAATTTACCCTGAATACTCATGGAAATCGTGACACGTTGGTCGACCCAAGACGTATGTATACCCGAAATTAGATGCATCGGATCTATCGAACCGTCCGTAGGAAATGTAAACTAGACTATTAATCTGCAGGCCAAAATGAATTGTGTGTATGGGGTCTATATAGGCTTGGCTTTCTTGAAGTCGAAATCGATTGTCGTTCATTAATCGTACGTATTCGTACCTACAACCTTTCACCTTTCGCCTTTCACCAGATCGAGGCGATCAACCTCTTCGTTTTGCGATCGGATTTACCATCTCATTTGGATCTGAGTAGTCCCAGTGTCGTTTGATTCCGCTTTCATACACATTCGCGACTGATTCTTGCCACATACTTGGGCTCACAAACGAGGGGATGGGCGCTCCAGAATATTGTTGTGGAGGCATAGGTTGTGAGCCCGGCGGTAAGCTCACGTTGGGGAGAATTTGCATTTCTGGGAGTGTCGGGAGTTCTTGTGCACCTGAAGAGGGAGTTTTTAGAGGAGGGGTCGTTTCAGAAGCAGAGCTGCTCGAAGCGGGAGGCGTACCGAAAGTGCTGTTCCATTGGCTAAGGTGACACGATTAGTACTTGTACTTTCGAAGTACGGGCTAGGAATTAACTTACTCAAAAATTCTTGACGGGTTCCATGACGAGTTGTCTGCCATTTGAAGCCCGCTTGTAATTGGAACTGGGGGTCTTTGACCAGTGGCCATCATGACCAGAGACTGTACAGCGGGAGAGTCACTTTTCGTGTCTACGCCCCCAGCTGAAATGGGTGGTGATATGGGGTGGCTTGTGTAACTGACTTGTTGCTGTTGGGCATTTTGATGTCCCAAATTTTGACTCTCCAATGAGGTGCTTCCTTGACGATACTGTTGAAGATTTCCTCTTGCAGGACTAGTATGAGGCGGTGCGGCTGGGCTCCCATAAGGGAAAGATGGCTTCAGAACGAAAGGTTTCCTAGTGTCAGCTGAAAATGCCAGCCTGAGTGACTCAATCTGTTGTTGCATATCTGGCATGGGCCATGAGCTGGTACATTTTTCTAGGATTCTCATATGTCTGGTAAAATATTCCCGGGCATCTGAATTCAAGTCTGGATCCGGGGATGTGATCGCAACCTATAACATTGTCAACATACCCCGAAATAAAGTCAGTATATTGGCTGTTGTACATACCAAGTGAAGAACTGTGCACGTCAAAACACAATAGATAGTGAAGTTGATTCCCCGTTGCATGCATAATAGACCAGTTAATCCAAATGACTGCAAGACACTTTCTTGAAGTCTGCATAAAAGTTTCGCAGAATTATAACATATGAGCATATGGTGTTTCCACCCGTCCATCCCTGGTTCCATGAAAGTGAGTTGTGGACGATGAAGCATGATGATACTTAGGTAATAGTAGGAGTGAAGATTGCCAATGAAATGAGTAGGTAGCCATGGAGGGGATCCGTCCGCTGGAAAATCAATCTGTAGGTTTTCGGGAAGATCATTCATCCAAGTTTCGAAGGAAGGGTTCAATTGTACGAAATCTGGATCGATACCCCACTCCTTTCTCTTCTTAACTTTTGCGTAAACATTATTCATTCTCCGAACATTGCGAACAACACGCGTGAACCAAGTGAAATTGCGCGTGATTGCGAGTTCTCCGTTGTCAATCCCAGTTCTGGGAACACTTAAGTCAAGTGTTTCCATGTCGACCGCGAGATCCGTCCGGCCTTGTGGAGAACCGATCATCAATTCACAAACGAATATGGTTTGCCAAATTCGAGTTTTGGTAATGCAGTCAGCAAGATCAGAACCACATGATCGACCTGCTTTGTGATCTTCATAGTGCTCATCTAGACCCAAATCCTTGGCCATTTGAACACATGCGACTACAGTCATCCATGAACGATAATAATATCCACGCTTTGGAGCGGATTCTCTTGCTTTAAGTATTATGAGGTTTGCTTGAAGAGTGCTCAATCGTGGAACGTCCATAAAAGCATCGGCATGTTCTATATGAAGTTAGTGAAATGATTCGTTTAGCTGCAAGACGAAGTCTTACTAGAAGCAAGGGCGAGCCACTGATGGCCCTGCGCGGGTTCATCATCGAGTCTTCCAGCGATTGCAAAAATGGCTTCCAGTATTAAAGGTGAGATAGCATCTCGATTTGTATGCCATTGTTGGTAAAATAAAGTTTTGTTAAGGACAGGTACATATGGATGTACATTGGTGAAGTACATCTCAAAATAATGAAGGATAGTCTGTTCGTCTGGAAGCAACTCGGGAGGTATTCTGATCTTCATGTCTGCGCTCAATGTAATTGGAGGTAAAGCGTTTTTGTATTCATCAATGTCTTCAAAAGCTGGTTCTTCTACCAATGCTCTGGTCCTGTTCTTGTTGTTCAAGTATGGAGCTGTTTCTTCATCAGAACTACAACTTAAATTGACGAGCAAATCGCTTACCTGTGCCTGCGGGGTTCATCTTGAGTTCTCCTAGCAAGTCGGCCAAATCCTCCCCGCTGTATTCACTATGGGTATAATTTTCCGGTGAATCATGTGTCTGTTGCTGAAGAGGGGCTGTGGGATATACCGCTTGTGGCGAATATTCTGTATGTTGGCTGAGTGCGCTGACTGGAGTTTGAAGACTATTATAATGCATACTCTGTTGACTATGTGCACTCGAGGGTCCTCCGTATGGAATGGATTGATACATGTTATTCGGATCGGGATATGGAGGTTGTTGTGTGTAAATTGGAGGTACCACCTTTGAGGGGCCTGTCATTTGCTGTTGTACTGGAACTTGCTGATGGTACCCACCGCTGGGATTTCCACTATTATCATATTGCGGCGCTTCTGCTTCAAAAGTCTGATTACTTTGCTGGAAATCGCGATCGTAGTTCACTGTTGGGGGGACACATCCCAACTTGAGCCTTGTGCAAGCGGAGCATGGCCAGGTGTTCGTTGTTGCAGCATCACACTTAATCTTTCTTCTTCGACATCCTTCACAAGCTCGCATCACTATGCCGTATTAGTAGAGGAATGCGCATAAACTGAGGACATCTCATACCCTTCAAACGTTTGTGGCGATTGTGTTCGTCAACAAAGACATAATCTAAGATATATCAGCTCATGTCAACTCCAATGCCCAAACGAAAGCAAGATCGCGCACTTTTTTGATTTTCTCTTGGGCCAAAGTTTGTTGGCGCAAACGAAAAGTTCTGCATTTGTGAGCTTTGAGGGAGTAGTCTCCTTGTTCCAAGATCTTGGGACATATCCTATTTTGAAATGCGAATTCGGCTTTCTACACGATGTCGTGTCGCGGTTACAGGCGCCTATTTGTCGATTATCTGACGAGAGAAAAATAACCTCTTTCAGTGAGGATCGTCAGTATATTGAGAATGGATCTGAGGAAGCGGAGTGTCGTGAACCCAAGATTCAATCACTTGCCCGCATCCGGATGAGGGGGCACGTTTTAAGTCCAGAATAAGCACGAATTGGGTTTTGATCAGACTAATTCGAGGGGCCACGAAGCTGGAGGTTTGAAATCGAATGGCGGAGTATCGGAAGTTCAAGGATTTCGAAGAATGAAACTGCGGAAGTAGATCAGGGTCAGCTAATCATCTATCTATAATTGAAGGCATCATGAGTAGCACAACATGCGCCTACTTCTCTCACATACCAATTGATCAAGGTTGGGGTATACTAATGCTGAATCATAAAATGAAGAAAGTGATGCCCCATAGAAAAGGAAAGAAGATTGACTACTGGTGACAGATGGTGTAATTTCTTTTGATGCAGTATTTGATCAAAATCGATTGAAGATGGTAGTTGTATGTACAGATACTAAGAGAGAGTACTCCGCACTCGATAGAAGCTTGAATTGATCTAGGGTCGCGCCACAATAAAAAAGTATAAATTAGTGCAAGTGATGCCAGAGAAGGATGAACACCCTTCCAGACCAGAATCTATAAAGCATTGGGTATTGGATGGGCAATAATAATGGATTGGCCTATAAATTTGTGGTGGGTATGGATACAGATAGGTAGGGTAGATAGATAGGTAAGGGTATAGACGCAATTCCCAATAATCCCAAATCTCTCTTACCGAAGTATTAGGTGTGAGGGTATTTGCCTCATGCAGGCGTGGAAGGAGGGATAATGGGTGATAATGGATTTATGGGACCATGGATGTTGTTGTATGGGGTGTCAAGGACGCAGGCTAGCTAAGGTCTGACAAGAAAAGACCCGCAAGTGAGTATGCCGGGAGGTGATAGCAGGGAACTCGAAACGGCTGGTTTCCAAAATCCCGGTCAAACATACAGTAATGATAGGTACCTATTGCTACCAGTCGAGAAGGCCAGTACGTATCTAGGCAAAATGAAGGAGATATTGTTTTGCCTAGAACCGGGAACTTCCAAAGTGCTCGAAGGACAATCTCTCTAAAACAGAAAGGGAAAATTCAAGGAAGTTCAATGGAAGAGACAGACCTATGAATCATGATGTCGCATCCTTCTAGTTTCTACGAGGCAGAAAACAGCATCGTAACCAGCTTCCCTGTCAACGAAAGAAAAAATCGGAATGGGAAGACTTGAAGTCCGAATTTAAAGTGGTGTTTGTATTTGGTAATGATCCAATAAGGTTGGCCCCTCTTTGCCTCTTTTCAATATATTAGTGAAATCACTAAATTATTATCAATATGGGAAAGAACGGGGGGGAGCCCAAGAAAGAATACGGCAGGTCCCCTTACTCCTCACTCGCAATCTCGATAAAACTGGCTAACAGCTTCGTCTTGACGCGGATACTGCCGAACACATTAACTCTTGGAATCTTGGTTGTCATTCCTGTTATCACATGCATTCATTCATCTTATCTTCATTCGTAATGTTGTTGAAATGGTAATTGGTACGGGTACAGACAGGTACAGGTACCCGGTGCCACTGTAAGCTTCCGGGGAGAAGGCTTTTTGGTGGTTACAGAATAGGGCCTAAATTTACCGAGGCTTCTATACTATTCAATCATTCGTGTGTGTTGTATGGGTTAAAGTCTCGAAGATAGCCATGGGATCGCAGATTCACAAACAAGATTGATTGAAAGGACCATACCAATTCGCTCATCATTCCACAGGTAAAAGATCCCGTAAAATGTAGCCTTCGGACCGGTGATGCATGGTAAACCAGTTTGGGATGTATGAAACGGTGATCAGTGGGAAGGATGTGATGCTCTCTTAGTCCTGTACCCACAATGACCTCCTGGATGATAGGTACCACATTTAGCATGCCAAAATGCAAGAAGTTGAATACATTTCACATTTGTCATGGTCGTACATGTCGATTCATGAGAGAGGAAGAAAGAAGTAAAGAATAACTCAATATTGTGGAGCACAGAAAGCAGGCATCGTTCCTGGAATTGAGTTTGTGCTACAGGAGGTGTGGAAGGTTGTAAGCACTTCACATCGGCACCTACCGATAGAGGATAGGTACTTGGATTTAGGGTTCAGACTTAGAAGCATCATAGAACTTTAGGTCTATGACCATAGTCCGAGGTTACTTTCATATGGTTAGGCGTTCGTTTTTAGGGTGCTTTAGGGCCTTATGAGGGGTAATCGCGGCAAGTAGATACCAATTGCTTCTTTTCCACTGCCTGCACTAGAAAAGAAATAGGGAAAAAAGTGCTAATCGTTGGTCCTTCGTACTCGCACATAACAAACGGATATTTATTCTGCCCCTAAGCTCATGTTCATTTGATTGATAACGACACCGTTATATCACCGAAAAGTCCTAGTAATTTAGGACTTAAGGCATATATCACCTGTGCCACGAACTTACGATACAATTAAAGTACTGTATGTTTAGCAGCTTTTGTATAACAACAAATAGATTGTCTGTTTCAAGACGTCTGTGGTGATTTCATGGCGTCGGCGGTGTGTGAAAAGCACTTCGATACCGAAGTACTGGGGGCATGTGCAGGTAAATACGAAAGTGCATGAAGGAAGAACCATTCAATATTGAAAGTATCGCTGTGCATGTTGCATCTGTCTAATGTATTTTTGCATATTTTCAATACAATCTCAGAAAACTGCCCCATTAATAATGCCTTTCTTTAGATGATGAGTGGATTCAAGGATCTCTAGACAAGTACTACTGCCCCGCAAACACTGTACTAGCCTCTAAACAGCCCCAGAAAACGTCGCCGGGTATCAGTTCTCAGGCGATATGGGACGCAGTTGCCAGCAAATGCAGCGAACAATGCACATGCGATACGGCTCTGACAAGGAATGTTGGGATTTCAGGACGAGCCAAAAGATTGGATGTTTAACCTCATGATTCCGTGCCCTAAAGCCGCAGCCACTCGACAAGCAGAGACGAACCCGGCAATATGGTTCGGTGGTTCAAAGATATCTCATGTCCATTGAAGATTGTTCACAAGGGAAGAATATATGCAGGTCTTGTTTTGGACCGGTGTTTTTTGCTGGAGTAAAGAAAAAGGTTTGATGGCTTTGGGCGTCAATAGACAAAGATTGCCTATATCCTGCAGATGGATCGATAATCTCTCTATACCCTTTCTCCCTCTTGCAGTTCCTCGAACCAGCAATCCTTCGCATAGAAAAGTACATCAAAAAGGTAGATATCATGGCCGCCATAAGCTGATTTCAGTATTTGTTTTGCCGACAAGGGCGCAGAAGGCCATTGGCTTCGTGAGACGCACAGGCAGTGGTAGTCCAATTTACCTGGAACGTACATTCAAGATGGTTTCTTGGAAAGCAAAAGAGTAAAAGTCCGAATTCCAAAATCTACACCGTCCATCACGGACTTTCGGATTATAGCTTTTCTGATCAGATCATCTGAAGCTACCCAGAGGGTCCAGCTTGCCGACGAGTTTCATTTGTCTGGCAATCTCAAATATGAAGAGACCAGGTTTAAAGATCTTCCGGGACGGAAACGAGTATAGCACGGAACCTTTAACCTTGGAAGCGCAGGATCGCCACGAGATGCAGATGGCTCGTGCTTGTTGATCCTTCATGAATCTTCTCAGGACATTTAGATTTTGAGGTGAGCTTCTGATACATCCTTGAACTTCCGAGTTCTGGCCATGGGATTGTATGCCACAGATATCAAAGTTACTCTCTAACATGGGACTCGAAACTTTGCACAAGATGGAGATGGACACTTTGTGAAATAGGAACATTGTATAACAATAAAGAGTAGGGCAAAATAGGGACTTGCATGTAAATGCAATAAGGGACAATATAAACGCAAAAATCACCAGTGTTTATTGGTGTATTTATGATTTAGCATTGTATTTACGATTTCCAAGTTCAATACTTGTCCTTGGCTTTGCTCGATCATTATATAATTAGTCATGAATTAATACGATGCCTCAGGTTTCAGATTTATCCCACTTCGCTTTATCGATAAAGGGAATTTGATAAACCTCGTCGTCATATCAAATTTACGTTCAAGTGTTCAAGACACCATAGCTCAAGCTCTTGTGTCGCTAACCTGCAATCCATTCAACAATCCGCTGTCTCTCGACTCGCAAGTCCAGCTGAACATATCTAACCTGAGTCACAACGTTGAACTCGTCAGCTATCCAACTAGCACAGGAAAGCCATTCCTATTAGCCCGCAGAGCCCCCAGTGGTCCCCAACCCATCTCAATATGGCATCGGCAGACAATGCGAATCCTACGATCTTGAACGTGTCCGAAATATCACGTCGAAGAGAAAAGCGCAAGGTTCGAGATTATTCGGCCAAGAAACATGGTATACAGAGCATATTGATGGCAAAACCCAGCTATGCACTGGATCCTTTTTATATGTCAGATTTCTCAGATGAAGACTCAGACGATTCTGGCTTAGAGCCAATAGACGAACAGGAAATCTATGGTAAGCATTTCACGTATCTTTTAATCCACTTAATGTCTATTATTTTTCGGGTTCTCGATATATCCTAGAATTGTATCACATATCAAACGTGCAACTATCAGTATCTCAAAATCAAATGAATATCCTGATACCTTTCCACCATTCACTATTATAACTAGTGCTATCTGTAATTCAGTATCGAAATGGGTCAGTTGCTTTCCAAAGTTTGCATAGCTGACATTTTGAAGACTTGATTGCACCAATCTCCGACCCCGAGCACCCTCTTTCGTTGGAGTCTCTCGGAGTAGTCAAGCTTGAGGATGTTCATCTTGTTTCGCCTCCTGATCTCACAAACCCAGCAGCACTGTCTCGCGTACTGGTTGAATTGACGCCAACGGTTTCACATTGCTCCCTGGCAACTGTTATTGGACTTGGCGTGCGAGTACGTCTGGAACAAGCTCTTCCGCCAGGATACCGAGTCGAGGTCAAGATTAAGAAGGATACACACAGTCAAGCTGACGAAGTCAACAAACAACTGGCTGACAAGGAGCGTGTTGCGGCTGCCCTCGAGAATGATAATCTCATGAATTTGCTAAGGAAGATGATGAAAACCTGTCTTGATGGCTGATGATATCATAACCACAGACATAAGATTTCTTTGAAACTGCTTTAGCCAATGAGGGAATTTCTCGTTACGAGGAAAATCGAGAAGACTGCTGCCACATACGAGATCATTCCTGCAATACTCTGATACTGTTTAAAGTTACGTGGAATCGCCCCCAATTAATGAACTACGAATATGAAGCATTATCACAAAAATTCACACCAAGTACTACATCACGATTTTGGCATGTGCATGTGCATGTGCATGTGCGTGTAATACCACGATACAGGTACTGTGCTCGTCAAAGAGAAACTCCTAGCGAATCTTTCTGCGCGTTGTTGTCTGATCTGTGTTACAATATTCCCCAAATTCAATTGGTATGGTCAATGTTCACAAAGTTCTAGTAGTTCCAAAGAACTTTCCCATCGTCGATCTCCACAAGTGTCATGGACTACCACAAACCCGCTTCGTAAATGCCTTTTTGACAGCCAATCAAACTTTCCATCCCTACTTCAAAGGTGCCACCAATCCATATCTCCACATTGCAAAGCTTGTCGGCCTACCAAATGTCGTTTTTTTTTACAGGGTTCCCATGCAAATTTTACCCCCACAAACACAACAGCACATCCACTTATTCACAATATTCCCTCATTCCCAAGCAACTCGAGATCATTCGACCCACCAGATGCGTCCTGGCAGATTACAACCTTAGGGCTTAATCAATCATGCCTCGGGGGTGGTAGTGATAAAAAAGTGACATGAAGCTTACGTAGACCCTCGTCTTCTCCTTCCTTTGATGGGCAATTGTCAACTTCATCTGAAGCTTTATCATCACATTTGACAATGCTGCAAGATAATTAATGCCACCCATTTCATTTCATATTCAAGGGCTAGGTTCAAACCTTTGCTTCATTTTCGCTTCTCAGTAGCTCTCCACACAAGATAAGCATAATTATCAAAATCCCATGAAAAGAAGGTTTCGGGGACCTCAAAAGTTTGAATCCTTGAAATCTAGAACGATTCCATCACACGTGCTTAATATGTAGACCCCCCGCCCTTCGCCTCTTTTACGTTTCTTGGGCCTGTCATTATCCTCGCCCGGACACTGTAGACACGAGATTTTCACGAGGCACAAAGTTTACGAGAGAAACGTGCTGTGATTCCTTGCTGGACAAGTCAATGCTAGGCAAGTTTGCGACGTCCTTCCTCTTTTTCCCAGTTTGCCCCCACGGAATCCAAAACCTTCCAATCCACACTTGCCACCCTCAACTGCATTGAGTTTCTTCATTGAGAAATTGCTATAACCTAATTTCTCAATGATAAGTCTATTTCTGAATCAACCATTTCATCCTATCACCATTGGATTCGGCATTCAACTCCCCCGTATCTTCATTGGAACAGGAGTTGTACCAATTACAAAGTATGCTACCCCAACATTGATACTCAATTATTCTTTAGCCCATTTAGCCTGACGTACCAATATCCTGGTCCTAGTGCATATAGTACCCCGGGCCAGTATTTCGACCATTTCGCTCGCTCGTTCGTTGATCAGATGAGAATCTGACAAGCGTTGAGATCAAAAACCTCATCATCCATGTTCATTATGATACAATATCACTTAACGACAAGTATCCGCTTGCATCTATTCACATTTTCGAACATCATGCATAGTACATACCTATCGGCATCACCGAGCCGCATAAATGTATTAAGTCTATGGAATATTTATACCACCTGGCGAATTCTTTGATTGGGTGATATTGTGTGATGTAAAAGAAGGATGTGAACGTAGAGAGATCAAAATTCAAGAAGTGGTAACATTTGCGCTCGGAAATTTAGTACAGCTACTTGTGTGTAGGTACAATTGATGGCTGCATTGAAAAGAAGAGCGATAGATCTGATCAATTATCCGTGCATATCCGCGCGCGCCCGCGGATCATCTTTCATCCTTTCTTACTTTTTACTTTTGGAGGGCAGATGTTTGTAGCAAAGGCAACCAATCTGACGGACTGAAATTCTCTCCCTATTATACCGACGCAAAGCGGCATTCTTTGGTCTTACTAGCCGTACAGATATTGTTTCTGTGTTCTGTTTGAAGAAAATTTGAAATTGAGAACTCCAGAGAGAGTTCGTTTTCGCGTGATTGTAGCCTTACCACAATCCATCCACCAAATTCCTCTTGATATGCAACCTATATCTACGCATGTGTATGTACAGCGCCTACTGCATGTATGTACTACTATGTAAACTCACTTACAATCGTACACATGCCATGACATTAGCAATACGATGACAAATCCCAGGTACCGAGACCAAGGCCTGGATACCCTAATGTCTACAAGGCGGATGCATGCATCCCTTCAATCGTTCTATGAATCGAGTATTCCAACTTCAGATCAACAGCCAGGGTCAATACTTAAACACATGTACCTGTACGTACAGAAACGCAAATCCCAGGGATATATATGGAGGGAACAATAGTTTTTCCATTCCCATTCCCGTGCCAATGCAGTTTGCGATTCCCTCTGCATAGAGGCTTCCTACCTTTCTTCTTCTACGATTTACTTAACGAGTAGGTGAGTTGATAAAAACATATATCTAGATATACTGAGCTTTCAGTATCTCCGTTTCTGTTGGTATTGTCGCGACTCGTGAATGAGTAGAGATACGGAGATTTAAGTCATGTAAGGTTACTTCGTATGCACAAGTATCCCAATTTTTCATACCATTGCCTTACTTATCCAGCCATCACTTACAAAGTAGGTGTCAGGCACATGCAGATGGAAAAATGGACACAAGAATCATGGGATGCAGAGAGCCTTAAATTGTTCAAATGCATATATGCGCACCTGCAAATATTAGTCAAGCGACTCCAATCCGATTTCCATTCAAAACGATCACCAACGTCTAGCAGCCCTCTCAATCGGATGATCTTCCACTTCTTCTGTCTCACCTTAACCAGCTCTTGAGTTCTGCGCTCCAGTATTATAAATGCTGAGGATGCACTGCACAATAAAAGTAAATCGACAACATTCGAACTACTGCTGTCAAATATCCCAGCGTGGCTGCAGTGGACGAACATGCACAGAGTGCAGTGAGAGTCCCACCATCCCCAGTTTCATGCAGAAATACTTCCTAGGATTCTTGTGATTTATCTTTCAATACGTGAATTTACTATGATTTGATTTCATCTAGATGTAATTTTTAATTGTACATACGCACCAAGAACCATACGTATACAGGTCTTAATTATTTTTCATTTATTTAGTATAGTTTCAATTCGCTATGCACGAACCACCCAAAAACGCCCATAAGATGATATATCACTTCCCTTCTAGATTTGGAAGAACGATCACACCTTATGTAGTATGAGATAATCAACCCCCAGGTTCACAGATCTCTGCAAGCTCTTCCTTCACATCAGGACGCGCGTTTGATAGATTTACTCGATAAACCCTACCTACCCGTCCAAAATACCCGTTTCCTTCAAACTAGCAAAGAGTTCTGGTTCCAGGAATTTAGCCACACTTACATCTTCACTGAGACCCTTTCTTCTTCTTGTCTTGAGGACGAAATCTCTCGCTGTAGCCTGTGCGCCTGCCGGTTCGAGAGGTCGAAGAATAACGTCTTTATCTAACGGATCACCGGGGACGATACTCCAACGATCAAAGACTAAAGAAACGGTTGCTTGACCTTGAGTATGAATGCGGAGATCGGTTTCGAAACCAAAGGAATCAATGACAGGGATGAGTCCACTGACGCGATAGAGAGGTGTACCAGCAATAGGTCCGTCAGACAAGACATGACCGCGACGACGGGCAAGTACAGTGTAGAGCGAAGTGACGGAATCTGCAGGTCCGGTCATGGAACAGGAGTAGACGGGTTCCATTAATCTTGGGGAAGCCATTAGGAAGGAAGAATAACATGCGCGTCGGGATGTGGGAATGATTTGACCACCACCCCGGAAGATCGCTTCAGGAGCCAATATCACGTCTGTTATCTTGAATTTACTATTGCGGATTGCTACAAGGGATGTTAGCACTAACTCGGATAGATGAACCAATGAAAAATTGTTCAGGGGTAGTATTATAGTTGAAGGGTCTGTGCGAAAGTAGTGGACGGAAGTTTCCATATTAATTCAGTAATATTGTGGTTTGAGGTCGTCCACAATTACGATCTATGATGACCTAGGAGCAATAGGGTTAAGGGAGAGGGAAGGCGTCTGGGGAAAAGGATAAAGGAAAAATGAGTGGAAACTTACGTTCTTCACACAGTGGTCCTTCTCGAGCAGCCCAACTGAATCCTTGTCGAATGGTATCGCGTACACTAAGTAGTGATTTTTTATCCACCTGTTGTAGATCAGTCAGCATAAGAAGGGCCGAATAATTCCGTTTGTGCAACACAACGGCTATTTAACCTATGCAGGCACTCACGATAGTAGCTCTGACCTGGCTAGGAGGCTAGCTACTAACAAGGGGTAAGCGAACAGGTGCTTTCTGGACTGTACTTGCCTCGGATGGAATGGTATCATCTTGTAAGATGTTTGGTCCCAAGTCGTCGGGACCAAATGCCCAAATACTTCTAGAAGCCAATAAATCCCAACCATAATTCTCCTCAAAGTATTTGCCAATCACTCGAGCAGGACTTTTGATGCTGACCTTTCCACTTTCAATGTCTTCAGCGATACCCTGGTCGAGAGGTTCTGCCACCATTGTGATCTTATTCTTCTTGTTTGGCGTCTGGGCATAACATTTGATAGCTGATGTTTCAACGACTGTCTCACAAAAGCGTGTGACAGGATCGGAAACTTTAATCTCCATCTCTGCATATAATCGTCGGAGATCATGCAGGACACAGTCCATATAGAGTTCTCCCGTGCCTAGAATGACGTGTTCGCCAGATTCTTCTACCTTTGTAGTGATAAGAGGGTAGCTTTTGTTGATCTTTCGTAAACCATCCAACATCTTAGGAAGCTCAGAAGGATTGATCGGCTCCACTGCTACCTTGAAGACCGACTCGGTGAAATGGGTAATAGGTTTAAAAATGTAAGCCTCCTCTTCATTAGGCAACACAAGAGGTACAATGGTTGCAGATTTGACAATCGAATTATCCACACCCCCAAGAAGAACCCAATTGCCGGCAGGAACTCCGTCTGTGGGAATGTTGTATCTTGTTTCAGCGATCCACACATCCGAAATGGTGGCAACACTCATATCCTCTTCATCATCAATTGAATATCCTTCACCAAGGACTCGTACTTGCGTGCCTGCTCGTGCAATACCACTTAACACTCTTCCGAATGAGTAAAATCCTGTAGCATCGCTTGTGTTCAAAAGCTTTGTTATTTGAATGACCAATGGACCATCTTGATCGCAATTCTTCATAGCCGTTCCAACTGTTGTATCCAATGGTCCAGTATAATGACGTTCCAAGTTTTTCTCTGCAGCTTCCACTGGAGAAGGTATATGTTGTACAACCATATCGACGAACCCGGTCGATGGGCCGAAGAATTGTTCACAGACAAGTTTCAGAAGGACGTTGGCATCCGTCTTGTATTGTGATGGTTTGAGGAATATCCCAAGTGATTCCAGAGTATCCTTCAAATCCTCTGGACTCTCACTAATGGTATGCGAGTATAATTTATAGATTGGTTCCAGGATGAAATTGACGAAAGAGCGTTTTGACTTCTCCTCAACACCCTTTCGAGTAAATGACCTCCTTGAGGGATTGTAGAAGATATCGCCCCATAATCTCCTTGCAAACTCGTGCGCATTAATACCACTCTCCTCGTTATTCAAACCAGGACCTCGGTTCTTCTTTGGGGCGTAACTGTCTGCATACATTTTTGCGAATGATTGTAACGTGAAGCACCATCCCATACTGGTACAGGCAAAGAGAACATTGCCTTTTTCTGGACTAAGTCGTCGGCTCTCGCCTTGACCTGGCAAAGTAGCCTCGATCACAGTATTGACTTCTTCAATGACATGTTTCAGCTTGAAATAAGCATCCGTAGGTGGTAGCTTGAGCTCTAAGATTAGACGATCCATTTTATTGACAACAAGAGTCAAGGGCAGACCTTCCAAAACGGCATGTTTGATAATCCGCTCTGTATTGACTTGTACCCCTTCAACAACATCAACAACCAAAACCACTCCGTCCACCAACCGTAATGAGGATGCAACCTCATCCACGAAGTTCACATGGCCAGGAGTATCAAGGATATTCAGAAGATGCGACTTCCCCTTGGTACTCTGAAGCACCAAGCTCATAGGTGCGGATTTTATAGATAGTCCCCGTTCACGCTCGACAACATGGATATCTGTATAGCGCAATTGCTCATCCTTCTTCCTGCCGGTCTTTTTTTCTAATCTCTCAGCAATGTCGTGAGTCTCAAGAACCAGCATGTCCATAAACGCGGTTTTCCCATGATGTAGATGCCCAGCAAGAGCAATATTTCTAATTTGTTCAGGGTAATTCATGAGGTCGGCCATGAAACTTCGATCAAAATGTACCGGTGGTAAATCCGCCTCCTGGATGTTGAATTTCTTCTGTTCAACCGGAGCTATAATTGGTTGCGTGAGGGGTTGCGCATCTTCTTCCTGCACCATAGTTTCTACATCCTCTCCGTATACTTGTTGCGCAGTAGGGTAATACTGCTTATCTTCATGTAAAATTACTGCATTCGAAGGTCCCTCATCTAAATGTAAAGTTGTTAGTTGATGCCCTTCCAAGCTCCAGAAAATGCTTATAACCAACCATCAAGGTCCATCAATTCCTGTCCCGTGGGTTCCTCTGGTGCCTCCTCTGGATATTCATCGTAGACGTATGCGCTCGCATCATTGCCTTGTTGAGACCCCTCGTCCGACTCCTCGGCCTCACCAATGAAGTTTCCAAACCTGCAAGAACATTAGCTATGATCAAGCTTCCCAAGAGCTCAAGATGTCAAGGTGACTCACTCATCGTAAAGGTCATCCATAGTGACTAAGTGAAATGCAGAAAAATGGTATGAAAATAAAGAGATGTCAAGAAAATGAAGCTATAACTTCACCGGCCTCGCGTCGAAAACTCGAGGGTTCGCGATGGTACTTTTTTGAGATCACGTGACCCAGCCTTGTCACATTAGGTAAACTTCATCTAATGGAAATCAGGGAAATGGATTCATAGTGGAGAATGGAGATGAAGAGATTGATTAGATTAGATCACTTACCGACCTCGGACTCCGGAGGATTAGATTAGTATTCTGGCTGCTTTTGTGAATCTTTAACTTTATGTCCACCTAGGAATTATCCAAAGAGGAACCTTCACATTGTTCTCAACACATACAAAGCATAGATTCAAAAGTGGCATGAGATTTCAAGGCTATAGGCGGGGCTGATTAGCGATCTGCCAGTTTACCTCACCGCCCTCACCATAAATAACTGGCCCAGCTTTGTTGAGGTTTGTTCCCTCCCCCAAAATATTATTTACAAACTTCAAATCTTGTAGTTCCACTCCAAAAATGTCTTCAGTTCCTCCAGTTTATATTGTGTAAGTTTCTATCTATTCTTCTTCCTCAGGATTGACACCACTTGAATGGTTTTCTAGACATACATGTCCTCTCATCTCTCGTGACCGCTAAGATGAGAAATGCTAACCATTTATTGTTTATAGCTCCGCTGTGAGAACACCCATTGGTTCATTCTTGGGTTCCCTCTCTAGCAAGAGTGCTACTGAACTAGGTGGTATCGCCATCAAGGGTAAGCTCACTACATCTTTCTGGCGTGGAAAGTTCCGGGTCTAATGGATATCCAGCTGCCGTCGAGCGTGTGCCAGAAATCAAGCCTGAAGATGTTGAGGAGATCTTCTTCGGCAATGTTTTATCCGCAAAGTAAGCCAATCACTTGTTTGTAAATGATTCAAGACTAATCTGAATAGTTTGGGACAAAACCCTGCTCGTCAATGTGCTCTTGCTGGAGGACTCACTGAAGGCGTTGTCTGTACTACCGTTAACAAAGTTTGTGCTTCTGGAACCAAGGCCATTATTCTCGCTGCTCAAACAATCATCACTGGCAACGCCGATATTGTTGTAGCTGGTGGTACAGAGTCTATGTCTAATGTTCCTCACTACCTCCCAACTCTCCGAAATGGTGCCAAGTATGGCGACCAAACTTTGGTAGATGGTGTTCTCAAGGATGGTCTCACTGATGCCTACAACAAAAAGGAGCACATGGGATTGGCTGGTGAAGAGTGTCACGTTGATCACGACATCAGCAGAGAGCAACAAGATGAGTATGCCATCAAGTCATACCAAAAGGCACAAAAGGCAACCGAAGACGGTCTCTTCAAGACCGAGATCGTTCCAGTTGAAGTTAGTGGTGGCCGTGGAAAGCCAAATGTTAAGGTCGAGAGAGATGATGAGGTTAAGAACTTGAACATTGAGAAGCTCAAGGCTATGAGACCAGCTTTTTTGCCAAATGGAGGAACCGTTACCGCACCAAATGCTGCTCCAATTAACGATGGTGCTTCAGCTCTTGTTCTCGTCTCAGAGGCTAAGTTGAAGGAACTTGGTCTTAAGCCTTTGGCAAAGATTCTTGGTTGGGGTGATGCAGAAAAATCACCAAGCAAATTCACCACCGCTCCATCTTTGGCTATCCCCAAGGCTTTGAAGCACGCCAAGATTGATGCTTCAGCTGTTGATTATTACGAGATCAACGAGGCTTTCTCGGTTGTCGCTTTGGCAAACATGAAGATCCTCGGATTGGACGAATCCAAGGTCAACATCCATGGGGGTGCTGTCGCTATAGGTCATCCTCTTGGTTGTTCCGGCGCTAGGATTGTCACAACACTGGTCAATGTGTTGAGAGAGCAAAAGGCAAAGATTGGTGTTGCCGGTATTTGCAACGGTGGTGGTGGAGCATCTGCTCTTGTTATTGAATCTTTACAGTAAAATATTCTTGAGAAATTGCTTTATAATTTAGAATTTGGATGGTACATATTTGGAGTATCAAAAAGCATAACTGGCGATAAAGCATGATAGATTCAAGTTTGACCAAAGTCCCTCGAGACAATATACAATACCCATAAGCTTTTTAATGCATTACCTTCGATCTTCAGACACAAGAAATCCATGAAACCGTTTCTATTTCGTAGTAGCCAGGCAGATATTGATTACATACGGTCAGCCTCGTGAAAAGTGTTCTTATCCGCGCGCAGCCTTGCATATCTACTAGACTCCAAACGCTCTAGCGTCACAAGGCCTTGTCGAAAAAAAGTTCGAGATAAGTGCAATCGCCAAAAAAAAGTTCCCGGCGCATCAATACCTCAATTTGTTGGTGTTTATATCGCCATTGAATAGGTTTTTGATCTCTTAGACAATTGCAAATTATGGTCGGCCAACGCAAAGCAGTGTAAGCTTTGAATCGCTATTCCTAATTGTATTTATCTTAACAACTGACCTTAACATCAATAGGGATCAGCGCATCCCCGCGCTCATTCGCAATGGCATCCAAGAGAAGAAACGAAGCTTCATTGTCGTTGTTGGAGATAGAACGAAGGATGTCATTGTACATCTACACTATATTATGTCCAGTATGGACATGAAACAGAACAAATCAGTCATGTGGGCATATAAAAACAAGCTTCTAGGATTCACGAGGTCAGTAGCGAAGATGGCCACTTTCTTTTGAAGCTGCATACTAATAGATCTGGTACTTATAGTCATCGAAAGAAGAGAGAAACTAAAATTAAGAAGGAGATCAAGCGTGGAATTAGAGAAGCCAATACTGAAGATCCTTTCGAACTTTTCGTGTCGCTCCACAACATTCGATATGTTTACTACAAGGAAACGGAGAAAATCCTAGGAAACACTTTTGGAATGTGTATTTTGCAGGATTTTGAAGCCATCACACCGAACCTTTTAGCCAGAACCATTGAAACAGTTGAGGGTGGAGGGCTTGTGGTTCTGTTACTGAAAGGCATGAACAGTTTGAAGCAATTATACACATTGTCTATGGATATTCATTCTCGATATCGAACCGAAGCGCATGACGATGTTACTGCTAGATTCAACGAGCGATTCATTTTGTCCCTTGGGAAATGCGAGTCCTGTTTAGTGATTGACGACGAGCTGAATGTTCTTCCTATATCCGGCGGAAAGAACGTGAAGGCTTTACCTCCTCCGGATTTGGACGAGCCAAAAAGCGAATCACAGATAGAATTGGATAGTATGAAAGAAGCCCTACAAGACACACAACCAGTTGGATCTCTCGTCACTTTGGCAAAGACCGTGGACCAAGCCAAAGCTCTTCTCACTTTCGTAGACGCCATCGCCGAAAAAACCTTGAGGAACACTGTCACATTGACTGCTGGAAGAGGACGTGGAAAGTCTGCAGCGCTTGGTGTGGCTGTGGCAGCAGCCGTCGCGCATGGATATAGTAACATTTTCATCACATCTCCAAGTCCAGAGAATTTGAAGACCTTGTTCGAATTTATCTTTAAGGGTTTCGATGCTCTTAACTACATGGATCACGTCGACTACTCAATTATACAATCTACAAACCCCGATTTTAACAAAGCAATTGTTCGAGTAAACATCCATCGTCAACATCGCCAAACCATCCAATACATCAGACCACAGGATGCGCATGTTCTTGGTCAAGCCGAATTATTGGTTATTGATGAAGCCGCTGCAATCCCGCTGCCACTCGTAAAGAAGCTTATGGGTCCTTATTTAGTATTCATGGCATCCACCATTAATGGATACGAAGGTACTGGAAGATCTCTATCTTTGAAATTGATCAAACAACTCCGAGAACAATCTAGAGGAACGACAAATGGAGCAGAAGATGTTGAGGTAGCTGATCGATCGAGTGGCAAGGCTGCTGCTAAAGGTGCCGACAACAGCTTCTCAGGAGGTCGCTCGCTAAGAGAGATCACCTTATCTGAACCTATTCGTTATGCACAAGGTGACGCTGTTGAGAAATGGCTCAATCAATTGCTCTGCCTTGACGCCACTTTACCTCGCTCGAGATTAAACACTCTTCAAGGATGCCCAGATCCTTCACAATGTCAACTGCTCAACGTCAATCGTGATACCCTCTTTTCTTTCCATGATGTTTCCGAAAAGTTTTTGCAGCAAATGATTGCTCTTTACGTCGCGAGTCATTACAAAAATACCCCAGATGACCTTCAATTGATGAGTGATGCTCCAGCTCATCAATTGTTTGTCCTTGTTCCACCTATCGAAGAGAACAGTAAGCACTTACCAGAACCTCTCTGCGTAATTCAAGTCGCCCTTGAAGGAAAGATTAGCAAACAAAGTGTTATGAACAGTCTGAGTAGAGGTCAGCGAGCAGCTGGTGATCTCATTCCCTGGTTGGTCAGTCAGCAATTTCAAGACGATGACTTCGCTGGTCTCTCTGGAGCACGCGTAGTCAGAATAGCAACAAATCCTGATTACATCAAGATGGGCTATGGAAGCAAAGCGCTCGAGCTCCTGACTGCTTTCTACGAAGGGAAGTTTACCAACCTCTCAGAAGATACGAATGACTACGTAGAAGAGACAATCACTCGTGTCACAGACGAGGAGTTGACAAGTTCATCTCTTCTTGAAGATAACATCAAGGTTAGAGATATAAGAAAGATGCCACCCCTTTTCTCAAAATTATCCGAAAAGCGACCCGACAGCCTAGATTATATCGGTGTGAGTTACGGCCTTACTCAACCTTTGCATAGATTCTGGAAAAGGGCTTCATTTGTTCCTCTCTATCTTCGTCAAACACCAAACGAATTGACAGGAGAGCACACTTGTGTTATGGTTCGCACCTTGGAGAATAGTGAAGATAGAGAATGGGAGTCTGCGTTCTCTCGAGATTTCCATCGCAGATTCTTATCCCTTCTTTCATACCAATTCCGTGAATTCCCTTCAGTTTTGGCCTTGAGCATTGACGAATCAGCAAACGCTGGTTCAAAATCCGACCCAGAAGCCGCACCCAAGCC